ACAGGCCTGAGCCACCATGATTCTTAATCCACGTTCCCCAGGGATCGGACTGAAGATTTGTTGTGTCATTTGTAACCTCCATCTGCGGCTCAGATGAAGGGGCTTGGAAGATCTTCTGGACATTTCCTGCAAGCACCACGGGTTGCTTCTCCTTTCTCTGCTGAATCCATTTCACCAGGACAGGCTTGTTGTTCCATTGGGGGAAAACATCATCAAATCTCTTCTCAGCCACACACAACCATGTAGACGCATTGATGGATCGCACTGGTTTGGCTTTCCATCCATGGGCATCAATCCATGACTGAATCTGCTCAGCAGATGTTCCTAAAGGCGTCGGTTCAACACGAAAGAAATGGTTGTGAGACACAATGTTTGGAATCTCATCATCAGGTCTCAACTTGGTGAAGGCGGCCGGAAAGTCATGGCGTGTAAAACGAATGCCCTTGGAAGGATTGTCACCCTTGAGGCTTCTCACTAACCCAAAGTGATTTTCACACTGGGATAAGCTGATAGCAAGATCAACAGCATTTGACTTGGTCCATACCACCATGTATTCCGGAGACACTTGTTTGTCCTCTGTTTTGGGGCATGTGTAGATTCCACCATTTCCAGAAGCCCGCAAGAGGCTTCTGACGTCGCATCTTTGAACTCTGCAGTGGAACTGCACTGTCGTGGCAAGATCAGGAGTCACTTTTTTTGCAGCTTTCTGGAATGATCTACCCCAAGGCGGTGATACAAAAACCACGTCAGAAACATCTTCACCAAGAAGTCGCAACATGTGTTTCACTGGAGATTGGAGGATGGCATCCCATGTTTCCTTTGGAACTTCGTCTTTGACTGCCGTGAAGCAAATGACTTGTGTCTCCATTTCAGGAATGATGTTCTCATCATCTGAGGGGACCTTTGCATGTTTGGCTCCAAGTTGATGCAGACAACCTTGAACAATTAATGGCTCATTATTCATCAGTACCGGCAGCTGAATTTTGTGACACTTGTCAGATTCAGTATGGCCACACGCACCGACAACAATGATCACCAGCTCGTCCTGCGATAGGACAATCCTTCTTTCCAACCATTGTCTCGCTTCATCATAGCGCATAAGCACCGCCCCGGAGACATTGGGTGCAATCTTCTGTAGCTGAAGGCAGTTGGTGTCATCCTGATTGAGCAAAAAACCATTCTCCATTGTCAAGGCTTCGACTGGGAGGTTGGCTGGCTGACCACGTGCTTGTGCTTGAAACTTCTTCTGTGCTTTGGACCTTGCCTGCTGAAGTTTCTTTGCAATCTGCGGCATCTCAATGTGCAGTGCTTGGGCAAGCTGGGAGATGCCCTCCCACTTTTTGTTGACCCTTTTTTGGCCTAATATGCTGGAAATTGCACTCGCACCCGCGTTTTTCACCAAGGAATCGATGAAGGCCACACATTCCTTCAAGTCAGCCCCTTGGGAGAGCAAAAACGAGGCCATAGCATTCTTCTGCTGGATGTTGAGGTCATGACTGTTTGCTGGCATTTTGTCAGCTCCAGGTCCACCACCCCTCAAGGCCCCAACAAATGTAATCACTGCACATGTCACATCGTCCGGTCCACACCTGCTGAAGTGTTTCAAGGCCAGATCTGGGTTCACCATACCTGTATGGCTCACCAACCTCATTGTGTGATGTTCACCAACAATTGTGCAAGCCTGGTCCCATACATCCAGGAATTGTTGCATAGGAAACATGCGCGGTAGTCTCCCTTTGAAGGCCATGACATTCCAGAGTTTCACCTTGGTAAAAACATCATCATCACCATTGGTCTGCTTCGGCATACCAATGCATGCGAGGGCTGACGTCATGAGAGTCCTGACAAACTGCAAAGTGACAGTTGGAACCTGAGGCAATGCCACAAAGATAATGTCATACTCCTGTGGGTCACTGAGCTTGGTGAAAACACAGGCTGGCATCCATCCACATTTTCGAAACATGGTCTCCATGCCGGTTTCATGCATCATCACAAGGAAGCGATGCAGAATTTGTGTGTCTCCCTTCATTGTGAATTGGCCATCACGGATGGAAGAATCAATCTCCAGGAAATCAGAAATATCAAATCGGCTATGTTCGGCGTCACTTCCCAGCATCATTCTGAGTGCGACTGTCAAAGCAGACTCGAAATTCAATGCCTCAAGATGGGCCATGTTTTGGAAGTTATCCGAATGCATCGCTTGCTGATTGGTCATCAGCCTGACAGGACCTCCACCTCTCACACCAAGCAAAAGAAAAACGGACAACTGCGGGTCACCATGTTCATCATGTTGCACAAATGAAGACAGAGGCCATTGAGGATTCATGCATCTGTTGTTGATCACAAAACGCCAAGCCTTATCGATTTGGAGTTTTCCCGATATGGAGTTCCAGGCTTCGTCAAACTTTTCAAGTGTCGTGGCTGGATCAACGAGTGAGTCCCACACCCATGCATGCCAAAGCTTGATTCGACACCTGACCGTTGGCACAGCACCTACGGAAGTCCAAGTCCTGATCTTGACAAGAAACATGTGGATGGCAATACAGTAGGCCAGTTCTTCCTGTACAATGGCAAGTGCTGACGGCCGACGGACTAGACGAACCGTGGTGACACATCTGTCAACCACCTGCTGCAGGTCAACGACCAAGATCCAACCCAGAGATTGAATGACATCAATCAAAGCTGTCCTGTGAAGAAATTCAAAGAAATCCGAAATGACATTGAACGTGCCACAGAACCTGATGCCTTCAACATCAACTTTGATGTCAAGAAAGTCCAGTATGGAGAGGTCATCAGCCGCCCCTTCTGTGTCCATGGCAAACACTGCATCTGGGCAAATCATCTGTTCAGGATGTCTTTCACCCAGGCTTCCTGTCAAATGAGTGCATCGGATGCCAAAACTGTGATCGACAACTGTGATGACATCAGCAACCGTCATTCCATGATCCCTACGGACAACATATGCCCCCCACTTTGTCAACACCACAATTTCCTGTGCTTTTGCTTCCAATGATGAAAAGGCTTTCAAAGGAATGTCCAGAGCGGATGGGACACTTGCAAATACCTGAATGTCATTGTCACCTACTACCATCTGCGGCTGAAGCATGACACGTGAGTTCAAGTCACCACCAGGCAAAAGGAAAAGTTCATTCGGGAATGAGTGACCAAGCAAAGCTTTCAAGGCTGAAATAACGTTCACATCTCTTTCAACATGTGCAATGGCAACATCCATCGGAGACCTGAGTGTGATCGTCTGCTCAGCATGCATCATCAAAGTGGGCTGACATGCATCTTCATCAAGGGTGAAGGAGATGCCACCCCATTTCTCTTCCCATTGAATGTTCCTTGAGGTCATTCTCTTGTTCATGACTTGAACCATAAGTTCCCGGGCTTCGACACCTGACAATTCGAACAAGAAGGCCAGTGCATTGGTCAAACCTAACAAGGCGTGTGGAATCGAAATCGAATTACCAAGCATTCGGATGCAATCCCGATGGCATTTCGGAAGCCAACATGGCATGCATGTCATCTGTGCGATCAAGATCTCTGGAATGCTCATGAACCGCAATCCTGTGGGGAGTGCAAGGATCGTCCCAAAAAGGCCAGCATGTTGCAAGGTGACATCCGGAAGCAAGTGCCCATATGAGTAATTGCTCATGATGCATCCGAAAACCCCATGAGGGTGCTTCACACGGTACTGTTCCACATCTTTGCGGTTTCTTTTGACATCATGGCCTCTTTTGTCGAGGGATTTTGGAAGGAGTTTCGGGTCCATGTAGATCTTCAAAAGATCCTCACTCAGCTTGCACTGTGAAAGCCACGGCTCATCAATGTTGATGATGTTCAGAAACGATTCCAATGTCTGTCTTTGCATGGGAGGCCAAGTTGCCGGCAAATGAGGAAACAAATCTGCCTGGTCAAGAGTTGCAATCACTATGAATCTATCACGATGTTGTGGCGCAACTTCGGACAGATTGGCATTGCGAGCAAACCGGATTGAGTATCCTGCCCATCTGATGAAATCTCTCACTACCTTCCAATCTTCATGGTTCTTCATGCCACTCACCATTTCCATCAATACAATGCGTGGCTGGAGGATGTGGGCCAACCCCCAACCATGCAAAGTAAGTCTTCCTTCCATTTTTGCAAGGCCTTGCTGCAGAGATGCAAGGCTCCATGGCGGGCAAGGTGGTGACATAACCATCAAGTCAAAGGCAATGTTCGAAAACAAATGTTTCCAGTCATGTGCCATCATGTCTCCAACAACAAACAAATGGTCGGGAAGAGGCTCAGTTCCCCATGCATACGAGAGCGGGCCCACACGGTGTTGGAAACCATGCGACCTCATGAATGTTTCTGCACAAACTTCCTCTTGATCCACAGCGACACGGTGGGAGAAAGGGTAGCCCAATTCTGACAGGCGTCTCATCGCCTGAGACCAGCCAGAATATCCCCCAGAGAAAGCTTCGCATGTCACAACGTCTTCACCTGGCATTTTCATCCTAGCATCTGGGCATGCCATGACTCCTGACGGGCTGGAAGTGACATCGATGATGCCATTAGTCACTACCCCCATCCAAGACAAGGAACATGCTTGACTTGCAAATCACCTGTTGCCACTGGTCTGTGGTGACCTTGACAGATACCAACGATTCCAAGTCATGTGCACATCGATTGGATTGGAAATATCTCTCATTGAAGCCATCCTGCAGAGTTGGACCATCACGTCTAATTTCACCTTTGACCACTACATAGTCAAGTGACATCAACGTCGGTTGCCTGTGACAAATCTCACAGGTGATCCTTTTCAAACAGGGACAAAGGCTACTTCGAGAAGAGTAAATCATGGCAACATCAAACGCATGCTTTTCAGCAGTTGGAAAGAATGACATGGCTCAATTTGCAGGCCAGGTGTCCCTCCTGGCACAACCAGCTTTACCCCGGGGAGGTTTGAACCAAAAAGCTATCCCAACTTTGACCATCACAGCCGATTGCTGCAGGCAACGACTGGGTCTCTGAGGCGTTGAGGCGTTCAGGGATCCGGAGGACAAGCTGGGCACAAATCTGGCGGAAGCAGCAGCTTTCAAAGTCCCGGGTGCCAGGTTGACGCACCCACCCAGGATTTTGGTGCTCTATGGTTGCTGGGCCAAGTTTCAAACTGTTGGCACAGCCAATGCCATAAGATGGCATAAGCCTATCATTTGGCGCGAATGACCGTTGGGAATGGTTTATTATTGGGCTTACCACCTGACTGCTATTCGATGCCAATTGTGACAGAGTACTCGGGGTTGAGAGATGTCACAAACAGTCATGAATCAGTAGATGCCCACTTCCAAGCCAGCCTGCTACAGTAGAGCTTCAAGTGACCCGGGGCTTATTGATATACATCACATTACATGGCATTGCATTACATTACAGTACATTACATCATTAGACACACACACACAGATATATATATATATATATGTATGTATGTATGTACATATATATATATACAGATATATATATATATATACATATGTATACATATATATATATATACATACACACACATATATATATATACACACATGCATACACGTCAGCAAAGTGTAGTAGATGAATGGATAGATCATGATAACTTGAACATTGTGAACAAAACGGCCAGCCTCAACCAGGTTCTCTTCGCCCCACCTCGTTCTCCCGAAAGCTTGCCTGCGAGTGTGCACGCTTACTGGAGCTTCTGGGAGCAGATGTCGCCTGCTGAGACACAGATTTTTCTGCACCAATTTCTTTTGGTCCATCTCCGATGGTCAGAAAGTCTTCCGTCTCGATTTGGATCCATCCCCTATCCGATATATCTCCACATCAAGTTTTGGTGTTTCATGGTGAAGATCACCTCCAGCGCGGGACCTCCCTGGCTTCGGCGGTTGCACCGGTTGCACCGCACCAAGGTAAGGCTGTACTGCCCCATGGGGCTGCCGGTGCGCGACCCTGCACTGGAGGAGCATCCCAAGGTGAAGGAACTGAGAGCCTCCTGGCTGCATCTGGCTGCGCTGGGATCAAACTGTTCTTGATATCCGTGGACTTAGGCCACACGTTGCTGAGGATTACTTTAGTATGTTTAGCTTGTGAGCTCAGTTTAGTCGCAGTCAAAAACAACAGGAGGTGCAAGAATGATTTATTTAGTAGTTATACAAGTTGGTTACTCAACAGCTCTGCCCCCCCCCAAAAAAAAAGTACATCTGAGGCCCTCTCCAGCTGGTCAGAAGGACATGTTTGGGTCAGTCCTGAGATGCATGGTGCTATCACTGGTACTTTCAAGAACCAGATTGATTGGCTCCTTGACATAAATTAGGGATGCGGAAGTCCTGCTGGTTTTCTGCTGATGAGGGCTTGGGACTGAATATCGTTTGACCTCATTCAAAGCTACTTGTGCTTTAAGCTTGTTGATCTTGTTTGGAGGCAGCACAACCAGACGTTATCATGATCTCTGTCCACATCTTTTCCTTTTTTGGCAGGTTCAAATGTCACATCAGTGCCCCGAAAAGAGCGCCATGTGTACATCTTGGGCCAAGGCTTCCTTTGAACACGGGCTCAGTGCGCCCCACACAAGGGAGAACCTGCGTGGTGCTTCAAGTTAATGGGGGCTCCCAGAGCCCCTTGGCGGACCAAGTGCACAAAATCGTACAAAGATGTGAGTAATTCTTCGAAATTCTTCCATGTTTCTTTGGATGACCAGATCCACCATGCGCATCATGCGCTAGGTTTCAACGTCGTCAATGAGCTTCGACGTCTTGCACGCTGGATGCGCATGCCCTGCTGCACCAACCAATCCTCTGTGGCGAAGGTGGGACGAGAGATTGGAGATCATCGCATGAAAATTTCCGAGGTGGACCTAGATTTTGATGGTTAAACATGGTTAAACATCGGGGATACCATTGTCTCTACAAAAGCCGGTATCATGTGACCCCTACAAAGGGTTCTGTAAGGCTCCATTTTGTAAGGACCACTTTGCTGTGTACCCGGTTTTTGTAGTAGAGCGATACCTTTGTAGGCATTCCTGCCTGGTCCACCAAAAGAGTTCAAATTGTATGAATCCTTAAATGGACCTACTGCGAAAACCAAGAGTCTTTTGTAATGGATAAATTGTGGCCAAAAACAATTTGTAGGTATGCTGTGCCCCAAAAAACTGTAGGTGCAGACTGTTTTGTAGTACTAGTTCCAATCTAAGTTTTCACAAAGGCCTTGCAAATCTACGGAAATTATGTTCAGTTAACATCATGCAAACACATTTCCCAAGAATAATTCTCCAAGAATTACCATGAATTTTATTGATTTTTCATATATTTATTTATATTTATATACATTTATTTATATGTATTTTTTGTCAGGGGTAGACAAAAGCAAGGGCCTGTAGGATCCTGTAGGATCGTCTTGGATCGTCTTGGTGCATAGCTAGGTATGTCCATAACTCTTCAAAGTTAGGTTCCATAGTGCATAGCCCAGCTATGCAGAAAAATGACGAGAAGCAATCCATCGCGAAGACCGTGAAAAAGAAACTTAGGAAATCTTGGGGAAATGGGTGTGTCGTTTATTTTTTTAAGGTACGACATGGTACGACCCAAGAAGTAGCTTAAGTTAGTCAGAATAATCCCTGGTTGAAAGCTGTTGAAAGCAGTTGCCGTAGCGGAAAAATCAACCCCAGATTCACTACAAACATATCCTGTGCCCTTGGACCATCCAGAAAAAGGACCTTAAATTTCACTACAGAAGTTATCAACCAACATGTGAACAAGGCCCTACAAAAGTATTATAGAAATTAAGGCTATTTCAAAAAACAAAAAAAACACAAAAAAAACATGGGTTGTAAAACCCTGAGACTTTTGTAGGAATATTTTTTCTAACCGGGACATTCTTCTGTAGGTGTTTTTTTCCTGACTGACTCCACTTTTGTAGTTTTGTGTTCTAAAGTCAGACTTGTATCTACAAAACCTGGGGCACAGGTTACCCTGGGTAATGGTAACCCCGATGGTTAAACTGTAGCCCTTAAACCACCTGAACCATTCTGAACACGTGAATTTCGTTGATACCAACTACTAGCAGATTGAAATCTTGGGGAATTATATGGTTGGCAACGGCTACCAGGTGGTTCATCCTTAAAGGATTCGAACTGAAGGCCCAAATGGATCCTCCATGATCCTCCGATGGGATTGCTGCTGGGTCAGGCCTGGCAAGAGTTCGATGACGATGGTCGGATACCAGATTTGCTTAACAGCATCTGCCGTTTTTTTTTCCCTCTCTTTCTTGGGAGCATCAGACATCTGTTTCTCTCGAATTTTGGAGAAAACTATGTAAATCTGGTTTTCATAGATTTTCTGGGTAAGAAAAGTCGATGTCCAACCGCCTCATACCGCCTCCAAACCAAGCATTGCTTGGGGGCACAGTTGTTTGATGAAGTCCTCGGCCGAGGATGAAAGAGTCTGACTTCCGTGATCGAGTGGTTGATGTCATCGAAGAGCAGCTTGGTGAAAGTTCCCCTGCGGATGACTCGTGCCTTCCCATGGCAGGGAAATCAATGGAACATCATGGAACTAGATCGGTCTCCGCCCAGGTACTACAAGTTCACCTTGATCATGCGGGAGCATGCGGATGCTAGATCAAGATTCAGTGTCACCTTTCGCATGTTTTGTTTGACATTTATTAACATGCCTGGGTTCGCTGTGTGTTCATTAGCTTCTATTTCAAGTGATTTCTGGTCGGTCTGGTTGCATCAGACTGGTGCGAACAGTGTGGGCATCCAACAATGGAGCAAAACCAATGGGCCAGTGGGCTCTTAAGTCTTAGACCAGATGTTTGTTTTGCGTTTCTAGTTGCATAGGCTTGGTGCAACCAAGGGGTTGCCTGCGGCTCCAGCATCCCCAGGATTTCCTAGTGGATCGCTTCTCAGAGCGGAAGGAGATTGCGCAGAAGGGCAAGCTGTTGACACAAGCGCAGCACCTTGGTTGCAAGCCATTGTCATGGATGGTCACAAGTTGGGTCCAAATGTTATTTTTGGATGTTTTTGGTTTCCCCGTACCTCAGACATGGAATATCATTTTTATGCGGAGAATGTGACACGCATGGTATACATGTGAGATGTAACTTTACGCGCAAACACCCCGTTTCGCCCACACCCTTCTTGTCTTGGGAAGATCGACAAAGGTATTTGGGAATATAAGAGTCCCACCGCAGCTAAACTTTACATTCATTTTACATTCATTGAAGATCTTCAACAAGAGTTTAATTCTCCCAACCCCGCTAAACTTCTACATTCATTGAAGATCTTCAATAAGGGTTCAATTCTCCCACCCGCGTTAAACCTCTACATTCATTGAAGATCTTCAATAAGGGTTTAATTCTCCGACCCCCGTTAAACTTCTACATTCATTGAAGGCCTTCAATAAGGGTTTAATTCTCCCACCCCCGTTAAACTTCTACATTCATTGAAGGACTTCAATAAGGGTTCAATTCTCCCACCCCCGTTAAACTTCTATATTGGTTGAAGATCTTCAATAAGGGTTCAATTCTCCCACCCCCGTTAAACCTCTACATTCATTGAAGATCTTCAATAAGGGTTTAATTCTCCCACCCCCGTTAAACTTCTACATTCATTGAAGGCCATCAATAAGACTTTAATTCTCCAACCACCGGGGTTAAACTTCTACATTCATTGAAGGCCTTCAATAAGGGTTCAATTTTCCACCCGCGTTAAACCTCTACATTCATTGAAGATCTTCAATAAGGGTTTCATTCTCCCACCCCCGTTAAACTTCTACATTCATTTAAGATCTTCAATAAGGGTTCAATTCTCCCACCCCCGTTAAACTTCTACATTCATTGAAGGCCTTCAATAAGGGTTTAATTCTCCCACCCCCGTTAAACTTCTACATTCATTGAAGATCTTCAATAAGGGTTTAATTCTCCCACCCCCGTTAAACTTTTATATTCGTTGAAGATCTTCATTGATGATGATGATGATGATGATGATGATGATGTTGATGATGATGATGTTGATGATGATGATGATGTTGATGATGATGATGTTGATGATGATGATGATGATGATGATGATGATGATGATGATGATGTGGAACGAACCCGCACAGGTCCCTCTGCTGTGCGTTCTGATCTAGAACATCAAGTTAACCATGATGCTAAAATATTCCATTTTTTTACCACTTTTTCCGCTCATACGAAGAAGGCGGACCAACAGGCGCGGGCAAGACGAGGTGTTTGGCGGTAACTTTATTTTCCAAACCCAAATTGGCCGATTCCAAATCCTCCAAGGAAAGAAGCCGCGAAAGCGAATTCCTGATGACTTCCGAGGCCAGCAGCCCATGCAATCTGGACTCGGAATGGTGTCTGCTGATGCTCACTGACACTAGGTGCTGTCAAGATCATTCCTAAGAGACCTGCAGCAGAAAAAGTAGGATTGTTCTGGTTATTTTTGTCCATTGGATTTCTAAACTTATACTGTATTTTTCCGTAATAAAATCTCTCGTTGCAGGCCCTTCTGCATTGATCTTGATACTGCAGGGTGTACAGCACATGCCTTGGATCACCTGTCTTTAGAGCTGTTTTCAAGCTGTGCAGTTGCCGCTCTCTAAGCGTTGGAGACGTGAGGATTCGACGCAGTCGAATGCCGGGGGAATGGCACGGCACCAAAGATGCTGAACAAAAAACCAAGCTGCTTCTGCCCGGATGGGAAGGGAACAATCGATTCAATAAACATTTGGTCGAAGGAAAATTTGCAGTCCAGGCAGTGCCTTGCTCGCAGGCCTGTCTTTACGGGAAACCCTTGTTATGGCTCTGAAGCCCAATTTGGATTAGACAGCACATGTCGGGTCAGGGGGAGGTTCCGTTTCAGCCGCAACATCGCATTGCCTCTCCTGCGACGACCAAAGCACGTGGGGCAACACTGGAGTCCAAAGATATCGAAATATATTCATGGAGAAGACACACACACATGCACACTCACACATACAGATAGTTGAGCATTATCATTTGATCATTGATAGGATTATTATTGTTATAGTTATACAAAAATGAAATAAGTACACACGCACACACATATATACTGTATATATATATATATACTGTATATATCTATCTATATCACACACACACGTATATATATATATATAAATATACATATTTATAAATTTAACTTGGAACTTCCGGAGATCTGAGATGGTCGGATCTTTCCAGGTCTCGCCTGGGAAGACTGGGAAAGGCTGGAGCTAACCTCATGGCCCAAAAAAAAGAGAGTCGGAAGAAACAAGGGGGTTGTGGAAGATGAAAGGGAAAGAGATGGAAAGAGCTATTCTGAGTTCTCGGATTCCATGTCAAGTCTTGTTGGGGCTAAACCAAGCCTAATGGGTGGATGATGGTGGATGGGTGGAGAAAACATGTTGGATGTTGTCAGCCCTTGGATCCTCCCTTTTGCGATTGTCGCCCCCCAGTTGATCGACTGTTTGCAAGCGGAACCTACAACTTGTATCACTTGTAGCTTTTTACTGGGTCGGGGCTCGTACTTGCAAATTTTTCTAGAACTGGGGCATACCGTATGTACCCAAGATTTGCTGGCAGTTCTTAGGCTTTACCTATGGGAAAGATGATGTCCAACCATGAGAGGCGCCTTCCTGCATGTCTCAGTGAAGGTTCTGGACTGACGTGCCCGGATGGAGCTGGGGGGCCGTGCTGGGGTTGCAACTGCGCTGGTGATGTAATGCCAGGAGAAATTGGGAAGAATCAAACTGCCCAAAGTTCCCTTGTTCACACGAAAATCTGAGATGCAAGCGACTTCCATAGGAGAAAACATGTTGGATGATGTTGGATGCTTGAATTGAACTGAAGATAACTTGAGACAAGCTACTGGAACATATATGTACATAACATTACATAACTATATTGTTATATTGTATGTATGTAATTCAAGACTCGTAAGAGCTGCGTGACTGCGTGACCTCAGATGTTTCATCGCTGCAAGCTGAGCAGCATCTCTCGGCCAAATGGACCGAGCTTGTCGATAGATCGATCTCCAGCCTCGGGCGGCCCATTGTCGTGCAAATGCATAGATCATGATTGATAGATATTGATAGTAAAGGGTACGTGTTCCAAAATGGCAGAACTTGTCAGCTTGATTATTTTGATTTATCAATTTTATCAAGTTCACAAAGAAGCTCTTGATCTCTTCGGGCCCGTCCGGTCCAGGTTCAGCAGGCTGGACGTCAGCAACATTTCCATTGAGCATTTTCTGATGTCAACCTGTCAGCAATGCTTAGAAAAATTGCAGCGTGCTGTCGTGGCTCTGTAGCAAGGTGAAACCAGGGTAAGCCTGAGCAGGAATCTGCGGAAGCTTTGCGGACCAACTGATGCACCTGGCTATGGTTCATTTGGACCCTGACCCGCGTGTTTTTATCTTTAACATAGGCTTGAAAGGGAGTCTTCAACCCAAGATTTTGGGTTGTTGCCCATGGCCCAATGTGACAGCTTTAGTTCGGCCCTTCCCAGCATGGCTTGATGCTCATCTCATGGGCGTGGCTTGTACACCCTGGCAACAGAACAACAGGCCCGGCGCAGGAAGAGCCGGGACGAGTGGCCCGTGCTGGTGGTGGATGGTGGTTCCTTCCGCTACGAGATGTGCAGGAAGTTCTACTTCGGTTCTCGCCATGGGGGTGATCTTTGGAGCGGGAGCAACATGCGTTGGAATAAGTTTTTGATCCAACTCATGGACTGGGGCTGGGAGTTGATCTTTGTTTTTGATGGCATTTCTCCTGAGTGGAAGGAGGCCACGTGGCGCCGGACAGAAGCCGACTATGTGCGAGCAGACAAGGATGCCCGTGGTGTTGCGGAGTGGGACGATTGTTTGCCACCCATTTTCAGCGGCCTGGTCTTGTCGGCCGCTCTACTGAAACTGGGTGTGGCCACCCACTGTGCAAGCTGACGAAGATGCTGATGGAGCAGTGGTGGGAATTGCACGGGAAAAGAATGGGATGGTTGTTTCGCGCGATTCGGACTTGATGCTCATGGATTCATGTGGTTACATTGATATGCCGCAATTTTTCGAATATGGGCTGCAGAGAGAGGACCCCAGGGGTCCAAAACTATTGACACCTGTGTTTCACCCTGGGACCCCCCTCCTTCGATCCCAGGTTTCAATGTATGCATATCTATGCGCAATCACACTGCTTTCTCTGAGCCCCTCAAAAATGGATGTTTCTGCTGTTGCCACAGCTGCTGCCATTCTTATGTCTTCTGTCTGCAAACTGGTCAACATGGATGTGGGTCAAAAACACTGCTGAACTCAGCACCGAGTTGAAACAACACATAATTACACAACCATCCAGGTGACACACACACGCACATATATATATAATATATATATATATGTATGTATGATTATGTATGTATATATGTATATACGTATATACGTATATATGTATATATGTATATATGTATATATGTATATATGTATATATGTATATATGTATATATGTATATATGTATATATATATATGTGTATATGTGTGTATGTGTATATGTGTGTATGTGTATATGTGTAGTGCATATGTATTTGTATCTGTATCTGTATCTGTATATATGTATATATGTATATATGTATATATGTATATATGTATATATGTATATATGTATATATGTATATCTGTATATATGTATATCTGTATATATGTATATATGTATATATGTATATATGTATATATGATATATGTATATATGTATATATGTATATATGTATATATGTATATATGTATATATGTATATATGTATATATGTATATATGTATATATGTATATATGTATTCATGTATATATGTATATATGTGTATATGTATATGTATATGTATATGTATATACATGCATATATACATACGTGCATTTTTATTTGCTTATTGCACATGTGTCTATGTAATTGTTAGTTATTTAGTATTCATTCATTCATTCATTCATTCATTTATTCATCCATCCATTCTTTCCTTCCGTCTTCCTTTTTTCACTGTTTTTTCATTTCTTGATTTTTATCCGCTGACATATGCATATGATGCTACAGGTCCCCATGGATCCAAAGCACTGGGTGATTTACACATGTTACGTGTTTTTACCGTTGTTTTGGCACATGTTCAGCTTTGAAATCCTTGAAAGGATGGGCTTCTGGTGCTGGAGCCAGCCAGATTCAGGCAGTTCCTGGGAATTTGCGGGGACGAAGTGTCACTCTTCGCCAGCCTTTGTGGCAACGATTTCGTCGGTCATGACGAAATGCGTCCCCGGCACAACCTCCTCAGGGTTGGTGCCAAGCAACACGACACCATCTACCCTTTGGTTGTGAGCTTCATCCATGACTGTAAGAAGAAAGGCATGGATTTGCTCGAGGCGGCCAAAAGTGTGGTGCCCGAAAGCCTGCATCCAAATTTGGAATACACCATCCTTCATTTCTATGAGGGCATCTTTGATGAAGGTGAGTCCACTCTGGTGGCCAACGGGGATCCAGTCTCAGGTGTGATGCTGGCCCGCTGGCGCGCTGGGGAGTTGCCGGGTGCTATGATGTTAGCGGCCTCTCGTGGTTTCATTGCACTGCCCGCGCTAGTGGAGGAGGCGCGGCAGAGCTCCGGCTGGCTCCTCTCGCGGCCTCTGCGTGCGGCCGCCGCGAAGCTATTGCCAAGGCCCATCATGGAGAGATTGCGGCAGAGTAACTCCACCAAGATTCAGGCCGGTGCCTTAGAAAAGCATGGGTACCATAGGTAGGTGTATTTCTCTTACTCTCTATCGTCCAAAGCCTCGGGGGGCCTACAATTCCCCGAATGGTTATATACAGTAAACTATGTCAACACATGGTCGTTCTCAGTTCTCATCATTTGATGCTTCACAATGCTTCACAGTATATAGGCCAACTGAGGAATCTCGTGGATCTCATGGCATTTCTGATTGTGGACACGTCATGTGTCAAAGAAGTTCTTTCAATTGATACTTTTGGATGCTGACATCAAAGACCAAGCCTCTGAGGAAGTTCTGTTGAACGCTCCAGCCTTGGAGCCGCCTTTTTCCAACTGGCGAGGACTGCCGAGATTTGCCTGAAGAGTTCATCCTACCGGTGTGCTGTTCCTCGGCCCAACTGAGAAATCTGCTGATAGCTGGAGCTTTTCCCTTGTTTTTGGGCGTCGTTTTGTATTTTGTAACCACCAAAAAGGAATTTCGCTTGTCGATTTTAGTGGTTGCCTAGTGCCTGGTGAGGTATGCGTTTCTTGACCTTGGTGAACGCTGAGTCTGAGAGATCCGTACTTGATATCCCTTGGCCGTATTTGGGAGCTTGGCTCTGGAGTTTGGCATTGAGCCGAGAGGAGAAACAGCAGGTGTTGGCAGATGTAAAGTTCAATCCTGCCAAGGTGTATAGCCCTGCAGGCGCCAGCTTTATCAACGCATACCTGGCATCCCTGTGGTCGGTGCACTTGTTGAATGGTGCTTTGGGGATGCCGTATGGATCCTTTGATCCCCTGGCCTATGACGGCCCCTTCCTGCATAGCATCCTTTGGTGCCTCCATGGCAGCTCGCCACAGGCAGCGGGCTACTTCAGCAAAGATGATAAGGATCGGATAGTCCTGCAGCTACCGCCAGATGCGTTGTTCAGTGCTGTGCTGACCATTTTCCAAGGCGTGGAGAGTGAGGTGGGCCAGACATTCTTGGGGAAGGTAAGTGCCCGGAATCTGAAGTTCACCATGCCCGGGGAAAAGAAGCCGAAGGCAGAGAAGACGACCGCAAAGAAATCGGCGAACGCCTTTGATGCACTCCGTTGATGCCAAAAAGTTTTAGATTCGCCTTGCGAGCTGAATGCTGGATGTGGATATAAATGACATGAGTATTGCAGGTATTCATGAATTTATATTCATTTTATTATATTATTCATTCACGATTAGGTTTTGACAAACATGCCAAAGACATCCAAAGACCATGACAAAGGTTGTTCCCAATCGACAAGTTGAGTGCACGCCCCTCCGGTAGTCATTGCTGATGGCTTCCTCTCGAGATGCTGCAAGCTCTCTGAAATTTGCCCGAAACAATGAGGCGATGGACAGTGACCAACTCATGATTTTCCAAATGAGCAATGCCCCACCCAATACCCCAAATCCTTGGTGATTGATGATTTGTGCTTTGGCATAATATCAGCAGCCTGGCGTGCCATCTGCGGTGGGTCGCCCTCGGAATTGAGATCTGGACATTTGGCGGCCCTCTATGGCGGCATGGGAGACTTTGCAGCTGGGACTTTGAATGGGAGAGGGTTTGCAGCACTGCGAAGGGTTGGCATCTTGCGTGCTGAAATGCCAATTTGTAGTCCGGGGCTGGCTTGTCATTCTGGTTGCTTATAATCCCCAGTTTGTTGGAATTAGATTCTCCATGATCCATTTGATTGGTTCGAGACCGGTTTCCGCTGCTTACATCCCCCATTTGCGTTGCTGACATATTGTGTTCGCATCATGTTATAACCTAGGAGTAGGTATTTGAGATGATGTTTTTCCACTACTGTACTTCTCGTGTTCATCCCAGGCTGCTTGATGCCCTGGATGGCTTCACCGACATAATTCGCCACTGGGGCAGCTGTAGCCAGGGATGGCTTACTTGCCGAAACGTATAGTATATGACTTCTAACCAATCAAGTCGGGGAAATCATGGTGAGATGATGGGTCGAAAACTCACTGGGGACATACATTGCTTGACACGGATCACAAGAACCATTCCAAGGAATCTTGAGAGGGGCACCAGTGCCCACTAGCTAGCATACTTAATGTTGGCACTCGGTGTCTGCCACAGTCGTTCTGTTGCGCAAGAAGCACAAGGTGGTGTTGCCCGCTGAGGTTGCAATAAGGGCATCAGTGCATGTGGCAAGAGTAAGGAATGGCCGGTAGCACTGCTCCTGCTGAAGGTCATGGGAGAGATTCAGCTTCCGCCGCTTGAACGCGGGCCGGGTAAGCCTGCTTCATCCTCTGGTAAAAACCAAGGACACATATGGTGGGCACCCCTAAATCCAATGGTTTGCCATCGTTCTCCTTATAAACAGTGGCGATTTGGGGGTATTCACCATTTCCATCCATTTCCAGCCATATGGAAAATTCAGATTGAATGACCTTGCAAAATGGCTCAGGGCAGACAATTTCAGCTACAACGCCGCCACCAGCGCGTGTGGCAAAGGGAGCGCTTGGGAGAAAGCACTGGAGCTATTTCGGGAGATGCCAGAGCGGGATGTGATCAGCTGCTTGGAAGAAAGGGAACATGACCCTGACAACTTGGATGATCACCCCATTTAGTAACTGTCTAGTGGGGTTATAACATTCATGGGATAAGCCAGTTAGGGGACTTATTAAGCAGACTTAAGCAGGGTGATTAGTCAGTTGCGAGTCGTGTCTTTTGGACATGCCTGCTGGATCCTGGCATACCGAGTTTGATAGTTGTGATAGATTGTGAGGCATGAACCCCCCTTACCTTGGATAGAAGTCAGAGGTACAATGCCTGCGCGCTTCGTGGGATGATCCTCCAAGGGCTATTGCAACAGCAGGAAGCCATGGAAGCCATTGGAATCATCGAAGCCACCCAAATCATGCGGAAATCATTAGGTCCAAAGTCCAAACATCGGACCAGAGCGCCAACCCCAAATATCTACCCAACCTGAAGCACCGGAAAACTTGGAAAAGGTATGAAAGGTTCCTATTCTTGATGAACCCCCTACTTTTCGGATTTCACGTTGTAACATATTTTAATCGCGGCGCTGTATTATCCCAGGCTTCAACTCGGCAATCGACGCCTGCAAGCGAGGCGCCTTCCCTGTGGGCACCTGTGGGAAAACCAACCCTAGCAACAACCGGGAAGAGCGTCATCTTCTAAACTCATAGTTCTTGGGCTTCCAGATTGGAATTTAAACAATCAATGTGCACGAGAGTCAAAAATATCCTCGTTTATGTAAACCTTCTGCCTCCGTGACTTCAAAACCGTGAGTTAGCCTCTAATCAAACGCGACAATTGAAAATCCTCGTTTTAACGGGGTTGGAAAGGGAAAACCATATATTGTATCGGGAATGCCATGTTGGATTAACGGAGGGTATGAGCTTGGTGGACTACTGGCTGAGGTGGCAATTGGCAAATGGCCTTGAGTCTGTTGGAGCAGATGTCAGCCCCTTGGCTCAGTTGGCTCCCAGGTTGGGCTGCGCACCCGAAACACTAGTGGTGGGGGCCCGACAAAGCACCGCAGAATGGTCCCTTCTATTTTGGTCTAGATCTCCTTAGAGATATGTACCATTATGTACCCATCGTACTTTCTTCTTCTTTTCTTGAAGCTGTTTTCCACCAGTTCTTATTTTTAGATTGTGACCGGATTGTGACTCAGGTCGAGCTGGGGGTTCGCAGCCTCAATGGCCAGAATGCGTGCATTGGAGCTTGCCATGTGGGAAACCAATGGCAGCTGGCCTTGCTACTTTTCAATGACCTTAGGGAGGACAAGCGGGGGCGCCCAGCCTGGTCTGCACAGTGCGGCGGAGTTGCGGAGGTTTATCCCAAGACGATCCACAGCTACGCTCCCGTGGAAGGTCATACCTCCATGCTGGGGTCATGTACCTGTGATAAAGGAAACGCAGATAGACGGACAGACATACCGACAGATAGACAGAATAGACAGATAGATTTTGATGGATTTCATTTTTATTGCCAGAAATACTTGGAATATCCAGCGAAAGGTGTTTCTGGCCCTTAACAAAGCTGCCGTGATAGCCAGGCAGCAGCAGCCCAATACAGTGAGCCATAGCTGCGCAATGAGTGTATGTGAGAGTCAAGGTGGGACGAGAGCTGGCAATTGTTGCTGTTTTGGAGGGGTTGGGGAATTGGAGGGGTGGGGGGGTTGGAGGGATTCAAGGGTTGAACCCCACTATGAACCACACATAGTAACACCATGTAGAACTGTGATGGCTATATGGTAAAAAAATAGTCAGACAACCCGTGAACTTGGATGCCTCTTAGAGGTGGCGATGGTGAACTGACGGCATGATGGCGATCTGGCAATCCAAATCATCCAGTAGATCCAGTAGGGAAATCTCCATCCATCTCCATCCCAATTTCTTGGGCGCGTCTTCCCCAACTCTTGTTTCTCTTCGTCCACGGTCTGGAGGTCAATGGCAGCTGGCGCTCTCAATCTTCAACCTAATGTCAGAGACGCAGGCGAAACGCGACGCCCTGATCTTCAACGTGGCCATGTATGTCTCCTGGCCCTGAATGATGCTGGGCCTTGGCTGGTTTTCCAGTTCCCGCAGCTGGCCCAGGCTTGCAGGCACGCGGGCCAGTGGCAAACTGCGCTGAGTCTCCTGCTCATGATGCGACTTGGATTCGAAGACCCAAGTCCTGCTTGAACATTCGGCATATTTGGACAGTCCACCAGTTGCAAGTAAAAGATGTCTTTCTTACCGGCTAAAGAAAGACACCTCTCAAAAAACACCCTCAATCGTCATTGGAGTAGCGCTTCCCCAAAAAGATAGAGGAAACCACTTTACCATACTTTACCACTATTTTAGGATGGTTTTTCACGAACACCCAAACAGCCTATCCAATGCCTATCCTATCTTTGGGGCGGGCTTTCCCAGGCGCCCTTCCAAGCTGCGTCCCAACGTGGTGAGCTTCTCCAGCCTTCTCGCCAGCTCAGAGCTGCCGGGACGTTGGGAGCTAGCGCTGGGGGTCATCGACGTCATGCGAGGAGAAGGCGGAGTTGGATGGGTCATGGTGGGGACTGGTCATCAATATCTACTGATCTTATCATATATATATATATGGATTACAGTGTAATCCGCATATATATATAATATATATATATATATGATAAGATATATAAGAAGACCTACATGCATCCAGATAGGCAGGCAGGCAGGCAGGCAGACAAACAGACATACACACCCACATACATTATATATATATACATATTAAGTAAGAGTAGTGGCAATAAAAATAGTCGTAGTAACGATCATAATAACAATAGTGATAATCATGCATGATATAATCCATATGTTATATAGCCCGTCATGTACAGCTGGGGATGTTCCAAAATCTAACTGGCTTATTTCACCAGCTTTTCATAGGGAGACACATTTTGCAAGCTGTGAGGTGTAGACCCAAACGAGATCAATTGGGGCACGGCTCTGAAAGCAACCAAGAAGCCACTTGGGATGGGATCATGGCAGTGTCAGTTTGACTGTCGTGGACCCATTGCGGGTTTGGGATGAGATGTTGCTATGTCTTCTATGATGTGTACGTGGTTCAGGCAATTCAACATCCCTTACCCTTCATAGAAGACATAGTTGCACGCCTATGGTTCACCATCACCTGGTACTCGTAGTCATGTTAGGGGAAAAAAAACATCCGATCACTGGTTTCCCATACTGGTTTGAGTTTTGTTGACCAGGCAGCCAAGTTCCCGGAAAATGGGGCTCCAAGGGGCATTTCCAAGCCCGGAGGATGTTTGGTAAGGCAAACAACTGAGTTGATCAATGTAGGATCGAAGGATCATTTCAATGATCGAAGGAAAAGCACCTCGATGCCAGGGGGTTTTGCCGTGACAGCCTTGTCCCAAGGTCAGGAGCCTGGCAAGTGGCCGCCCAGTGCTTAAGACAGATCCGTCACAGTCGGGGTGGCCCAGGAACTTAGTGCCAGAAATTCGGGGGGATAAACCATGATAAACCTATCCAGATGTGGAGATGGATGATTTTTTGACCTGCACATAGCATATCAAATCCAGATGCTATAGTCTACTTGTAGGATTAGATATGATTAGATTTAGACAAATCCGTTTGGTATTGCCCAATGGCGACCCAATATGATGAGCAGCAGGCAATAGGATCAATAGGGGCGTCCCAGCGGCCACCGCCAAGCCACTTGCGGTTGATGACAGAGATCATATAGACATATAATGATACATGATATACACAGACATATGCATACAGATGCAAGTGTATGTACGTGTGTATGCCTGTATACTTCTATTGTAGATGGGGCCATTGTTCACCTCACCTCAACCTCGGGTGCAACATGAGCTGCAGGCTTGCTGCAGCTCCACAGCATGTCCTTCACCACGAGTTTTGCAGCAGTTGCTGGGCTTGTTTGCGATGCATCTTGGGAAAACTAACCATTTTAAGCGAACGCAATGTTGTGCAACTAAGATATGTTTGGGTGTAGGTATGCCACCAAATAAAGCCACGTTGATGGGGAAGTTTATTTTTCCAGTCATTGAATTAACTTTGGCATCCAGCGCCTCAGGTGGCAGGCGCTGGTGCAGATGCTTGGTATCTGGCTGGATGGCTCCTTGAGAATTGCCGCGGCCGGCAGGTGGGGGGCCATGGTAACCAGAGCCGTGCCCGGGGATGCCATTCAAATCCAAATTGAAAACTGCCTCGTCAGGTGGAGACGGATGGTGTCACGTGCCTTGACGGGGTGAAGCAGCAGTGAAGTCCATCCCAAAGTCTTCCGGAACCAGCTGGGATGGAAATCCTTGGGGCTTTCAGATGCCAGTTGAAAAGCCAAGTGCAACACATGCAGTTTGGCGTAGTTTTGGTAGGAAGTGATCCGCTTGCACAGCATTGGCAACCCCAACGCCTGCTAAAGGATGACAGCGGCCATCAGTGCTGTAAGTGATCAATGGGTGCTGGGTCTTCGCTTGATTTCAAGGCAGGGAATGCAGCAACCATTGATGACTTGGGAGCAGCCTCTTGTGCTAGAGTTTCTTTGGGTTCTGGCTCAGGTTTCGCCCTTCATTCATTAGATTAGATATACACGATATGTATATGAATCAGTAAATAGATAAATAATGATAAAAAAAGGATAAAATAATAATGATAAATAATGATAAATAATGATAAAACATGATAAATAATCATAAATAATGATACAAAATGATAAATAATGATAAATAATGACAAATAAAGATAAACAAACAAACACATACTGTATATAGATAAACACATAAAAACATACACATAAATACAAACATAAATATAAATAAACAAACAAGTGTTTATATATATATAGAATATCATTTATATAAGTACTCTCTCTATCTATCTATCTATCTACCTATCTACCTATCTACCTATCTACCTATCTACCTATCTACCTATCTACCTATCTACCTATCTACCTATCTACCTATCTACCTATCTACCTATCTACCTATCTATCTATCTATCTATCTATCTATCTATCTATATGCCTGTGCATGCATACAAACATACATACATACATAACATAACATGACATTACATTACATTACATGACATGACATACAGACATACATACGGACATACATACATACACGCAGACATACATACACACGACACACAGACATACACACGCACACAGACATACACACACACATATATACATACATACATACATGCATGCATACAGACAGACAGACAGACATTACATTACATTACATTACGTTACATTACATCACATGACATTACATTACATTACATTACATTACATTACATACACGTACATCATGCATGCAAGCATGCATGCATGCATGCATACAGACATACAGACATACAGACAGACATACATACAGACAGACATACAGACAGACAGACATACAGACATACAGACAGACATACAGACAGACAAACAGACAGACAGACAGACATACAGACATACAGACATACAGACATACAGACAGACAGACATACAGACATACAGACAGACAGACATACAGGCAGACAGACATACAGACAGACAGACATACAGACAGACAGACATACAGACATACAGACATACGGACAGACATACAGACAAACCTACAGACAGACAGACATACAGACAGACATACAGACATACAGACAGACATACAGACAGACAGACATACAGACAGACAGACAGACATACAGACAGACATACAGACAGACATACAGACATACAGACATACAGACAGACATACAGACAGACAGATATACAGACATACAGACATACAGACAGACATACAGACAGACATACAGACATACAGACAGACATACAGACAGACATACAGACAGACATACGATTTACAAGAAGAAGCCCAAGGCCATCAACATGGACAAGAACCTCAGTGAAGCCGTCCAGAAAAGGGTGAACGGCTTGGTTTCCGTGTTCCTTGGCATGGGCGCCTACAAACCAGCTGGCATCTTGACAGACATACAGACATACAGACAGACAGGCATACAGACATACAGACAGACATACAGACATACAGACTCAGACAGACAGACATACAGACATACAGACAGACATACAGACAGACAGACATACAGACATACAGAGAGACACACAGACAGACAGACATACAGACACACAGACAGACATCCAGACAGACAGACATACAGACAGACAGACATACAGACAGACAGACATACAGACATACAGACATACGGACAGACATACAGACAGACCTACAGACAGACAGACATACAGACAGACATACAGACATACAGACAGACATACAGACAGACATGCAGACAGACAGACATGCAGACAGACAGACATACAGACAGACATACAGACAGACATACACACATACAGACATACAGACACACAGACAGACATACAGACAGACAGACAGACATACAGACATACAGACAGACATACAGACATACAGACAGACATACAGACAGACAGACATACAGACATACAGGCATACAGACAGACATACAGACATACAGAGGGACATACAGACATACAAACATACAGACAGACAGACATACAGACAGACAGACATACAGACATACATACAGAGATACATACAGACATACAGACAGACAGACATACAGACATACAGGCAGACATACAGACAGACATACAGACAGACATACAGACAGAGATACAGACATACAGACATACAGACATACAGACAGACAGACATACAGACATACAGACAGACATACAGACATACAGACAGACATACAGACAGACATACAGACAGACAGACATACAGACATACATACAGACAGACAGACATACAGACATACAGACAGACATACAGACATACAGGCAGACATACAGACAGACATACAGTGACATACAGTGACATACAGACATACGTATATACATACATACAGACATGCAGACTTACATACGTATATGCATACGTATATACATACGTATACACATACGTATATACATACGTATATACATACGTATATACATACGTATATACATAAATACATACATACATACCTACATACCTACATACAGACATACAGACATACAGACAGACAGACAGACAGACATACAGACATACCTACATACCTACATACCTACATACCTACATACCTACATACCTACATACCTACATACCTATATACCTACATACCTACATACCTACCTACCTACATACCTACATACCTACATACCTACGTACCTACGTACCTACGTACCTACATACCTACATACCTACATACCTACATACCTACATACCTACATACCTACATACCTACATACCTACCTACATACCTACATACATACATACAGAGGGCCGGTATGGTCTAGTGGATAAGACGCATCCCTCATGCGTCAGACCCGGGCTCAATACCCGGGTGCAACACTAGGCGGACAGGCGGGCCACTACCCCACCCCTGCAGTTAAGGGGATGAGCTAGGGTGTGGTCCGTAAAACACTCACCATACAGACATACAGACACACAGACATACAGGCATACAGACATACAGACATACAGACATACAGACATACAGACATACAGGCATACAGACATACAGACATACAGACATACAGACATACAGACATACAGACATACAGACATACAGGCATACAGACATACAGACATATAGACATATAGACATACAGACATACAGACATACAGACATACAGACATACAGACATACATTACATTACATTACATTACCATACATTACATTACATTACCATACATTACATTACATTACCATACATTACATTACATTACCATACATTACATTACATTACCATACATTACATTACATTACCATACATTACATTACCATACATTACATTACCATACATTACATTACCATACATTACATTACCATACGTTACATTACCATACATTACATTACCATACATTACATTACCATACATTACATTACCATACATTACATTACCATACATTACATTACATTACCATACATACATACATACATACATACATACGTACATACGTACATACGTACATACGTACATACGTACATACGTACATACGTACATACGTACATACGTACATACGTACATACGTACATACGTACATACATACATGCACACACACACATGTATTGTATATATATATATATGTATAACGTATTGGTATGTAGCCCTACCAAGTGGTATCCACAAGCTTTAGGCATCCATGCAACATTGTCAAGCACCTGGCACCTCCACCAATGAAACGTAGAATATGATGTGGATGTGGGTCAACATTGTGGATATGGTCCCATCCAATTATCAAATCCAAACCCGTGGTCCATTCAATTGCATTTTTTTGCCAATTTCTGATTTTTATGTAGCGGCCCAAGTTACCGACACTCATGGATGGTAATCCCTTGCCCCCTAACATTAGCTACACCGGCTACACCCCATGGTCCCCCGAAAATAAGAATATCCAAAAATGTCTTCAGCCTGACTTGGGGCATTCATCGCATTCATCCAATATCATGCAATTGGGCGACGGGATCAGCAAAATTGAAGCACTTTCTCACCACGGCTCCAGGCTCATCAGCCCAAGCTTGCAGCCCAATGCCGTGTCACTCAACGCAGCGCTGTCAGCCCTGGGGTCGCAGTGGCAGAAGGCGCTGCGACTCGGCGAAGCAGCCGAGTCTAGTCGCCTTGATGTGGATGCAGCTGGCTATGATACCCTCCTGGCAGTATGCAACCAGTCGGGCAGCTGGAAGGAGGCACTTTTTTTTGTTCTTTTTCTTTACCGGGGGTTGCACCATGGAAAGAAAACATGTGATTTTGCTTGCCTTGTGCAATGTTCTATTAGCAATTCCTTTCCCCTGATGGCCCTGATGCTTTTAAATTTAGAAACGCCCCAGAAACCTCTGGTCTAGTACGGAATCCAATCATTTGGGGGGCCCATATGGGGGTATGCATTACGGGGGAACGGGCTGGGCTTCGCGGTTGGCCCCGCAGGTTTTGGTGTTGGCTTCCAAGATGACCCAAGCGGATGCAACTGACTTGCAGTGGCCGTTGATTTTCAGTTTTTCCTGGGCATCTAGATAGGCACATGCACACGTTGAACAGAGTTTTGCGCGCATGTGCTGGTATTTCATGGTCTTCAGTGATATTTCATGGATTTTCATGGTATCTCTATCAATATTGGTTTTGGCACGTTGGTGCACTTCAGGAACTTCAAATGGCTCAAAATTTAAGGTGCAGCCTGGACACCTCTCCTGTGAAGCTACGCTGAAGGTGCGGGGAAACGACAAGTTAAGTGAGATGCAGGGGTTGTGAGTTCAACCCAGGGGATCATGTCCGGATGGCGCCAGCATGCGCCAGCTCTAGTCCCAGATTTTTGAGAGCTCGACTTGAAAGAGGCTTGTGCACTATGGTGATGGCCGTGCTTTTAAAAATCCGTTGTAGGCAGCCACAGAAATTGCATCGTTCACGATGATGGCCACCAACCATCCGGTCCCTGGAGGCTTTCGCCCATGCCGGACTGTGGCTGAAGGTGTTGGGCTTGTTGACAGAGATGCCGCGGCTGGCCCTGCGTCCATCAGCCGATGCGATGCAGGTGGGGATCGGGTGGGAGGGACACATCCGGCTGGAGGGACCTGGGTCAGATGACGATGATGACCACTGGAGCTCCCGGGCTGCTACTTGTTTCCAGTTCAACTACTGAAGGTGCTTGGTAATATCATAGTATCATATACTATAATAGTATAATATAATATATACTATGATAATAGTATACTTCTCAAATTTTGGGCCCAAATCCTGCAGTCCATCCCTATGGACAGCCCCATACCCAGCAGGCCGGCTACGCTGCTGTCGCGCACGCTGCAGATGGCGCAGATTGCGCCGTCGCCAGCGGCACCGTACGACGGCTGCACTTTGGAGAGCTGCGCTTCACGCGGCTTGGCCTGGCCATGCGCGGCAAGTGGTTGAGAAAAGTGAAGAACCTACAAACAGCTGGAGTTTATCCATCTTTATTCATCTTTATCTCTCTGAGCCTCCCGAAAAGCTGGACATGTAGTTTGCCATAGGATTTACATGGATCCTGGATTTACCTTACTTAGTGGAGGGTTGCTATATCTAAAATGGATCAAATTCATGGCCATGATTATGCTACAGTAATCGCATAGCATGTGGGATGCACATCCAAGTCATCCAAGTCATCCAAATATTTCGGATCATCGGGGGTTTATTCAACAACATTTGGATGTCCAAACACATTGGAACCATTTGTGGGTGTTTGGTAAGCATGAGGACGGGTCCACACCTGTCATGCCATATTTGGTTGGATGACATTTGGTGATGTTTGGAGATGAGATGTTTAAAGATGTTTAAAGATTCACGAACATTCTTTTTAATTGGGGCGTGATGTGATTCATCCGAAACCTGCTGGATGGAAATGAGATGAATTTCGTTTCGCCTCAAAAGTTGCGTGGTGACCGGAATCTCCAAGATGCTTCTAGCTTCAGAGTGGCACACTTAGAAGATCTTAGAAGCACATTTGTGTCCGATCCACACCGAACTGTTGTTTTTGGGGTCCGACGGAGTCCAGAGTGCCGCGTGAAATTGCCCGAGGCAAAGTAGCATCAACTCGCGCTTTCATAGTGGGGAGCTGTTGAGCGCCCCTTGGAAGATTTTCAGCTGGAAGGGTAGTTCAGTCAGCAAGGCTTCGGATAAGATGGTTTGATCCACCCTCACTTCGCATCACTTCGCTGATGTCAAATAAACATGGAATCCATAGTCATATAATGTGATACATATATAATGTAATATATGTATAATATATATATATACACAATTATATATAGTATAGTCATATTTATTTATTGTTATATACATGTAGTTATACATACATAATTATATATACAGTTATACATATACAGTTATATATATATAGTTATATATAGCAGTTGTAGATATAGTTAAATATGCAGTTATATATAAATATAGATAGCTACATATGTTTAGTTATATAAAGTTATATATATAGTTACATATATAGTTATATAATTAAATATAAATATATATAGTTATATATATATAGAGTTATATCTATATAGTTATATATATATATATGTATAGTTATATATATACTCGTATCAAGTTATATATATATAGAGTTATACAAATAGTTATACATATGTATATATATATATATATGTTTGTGATTATATATTTATGTATTTATACATATATATATATATATATAAATAGATATATGAACATTTTGCAGATTCTAATGTCTATCTTCAAATTGAATCCTCCATTTTCCTGCTCGCTTTGGAGATTTCGAACATCTCTCCTGTGGATGTCGAGGCCAAGATCCAGCAGCTGGCCTCTGGGGCTGTAGAGGTGTCTGACGAATGGTTTCAGCTGAGGGCTGTGAGGCGTGGGTTCCGTTGATGGGTCAATGGGTGAAACTTTCAGATGCTGGAAAGCATGCGAACCAATGAGAACCATAGATGTCGGAGTTTTTTGAGAGGAAACCTTATTTTTTCGGTGGGGAGAGACTTATATACATGAGTGACCCATACTTTTGCGAGGCGTTTCCAATAATGGGAGACCATGGGAGGTTAGTACAGGCTTGGAAACTTGGAACCGACATACATTCTTGGGCCAGTACACACTATTTATTTGGAACAAATGAAAACACATTTTTGAATAGCTGGGCAATCCAGTTGTATTTTGGATTTTCAATGGCCAGTGATGTAAATGCCTGGCCATGACAGAGCCCACTTGGATGCGTATCGCACTTAGTAATTAGATAATCAACACGTATACCACAAATTGTGCCCCCCCCCACCCAGTAGCTACGTTGGTTTTGAACTAGGTTCACTATGGTTAATGATAGATATGTCTATAGTTAATGGGGTTTATACCTAAGGCACCACCTTGAAGACTCTGTATTCAACAGTTATGATAGCCATGATGATTCAACACATACAAGGTGGTGCCCCCTAGTTATAAGTTGATTTACAACCCCAACTAACTATAGATTCATCCACCATAAACCCATATAAACCCTAGTCATTGGAGTTACAAACCAACTTAGCTACTTATGGGGCACCACCTTGTACCAAGCCAAGTATGTCACGTCCAGGTATGGTGAATACCTCCTCTGCATGAACAACCGACGACTGTACTGCTTCAATCGTCTGCAGGAGCTACTTGGGGAAGCTTGGGATGGCTGCTTGGCTCTTGGAATTGGTGACTGAGCATTTTCACCTTTGATTTTTGATTCACTTCTCTGATTTTTCTGCACGTCTTTTTTTGGGGGGTGATTTTTGGTTGTGCTCACCGTCTGTTTCCGTCCGTGTCCGCTCCCGTGATGAGAAGGGCACACGTGGACCTTGCACAGATGTAGTGGAAAGCTCGTGTTTAGTGGCAAATTCGGCCCAGCGGCCAAGGTATGCTGGAGGTGGAAGTCTTTGAATGGCCTCATTTTGATACTGCAAGCAAGGCGATTTTTGAAGAATTCGCGCAGCAGCTGAACAATGCAGTGGGATACGGTTTTGGCGAAATCACCTTGAGAGGGCTCTCTGCTGACACCCCTGATGTGGGACTGTGACTATGATGGCGCATGTACTTTGAACAGGCAAATGATAAGTTTTCTAGATTAGGTTCATCATTCTGGTCAAAATTTGGACACCCATAACATTTTTTTAGGGGTAGTGGAGAAGCGAGGCTCGCGATTTTACCTCCACCTGCGCATAGCCCTCATAGTACCACCTAGATCGTGTGCAGCATGGAGCCTGATGCGCTTGGGACTAGCAGAAAAGCGGCCCACCGGACCCAGATTCCAGAAAACCACATGGATGTCTGAAAATTGGCCACGTCTCCAAACAGAGCTGTTTCAAGTGAAAAAATGAGACTGAATTTGGGGGGTGCCCTGTTTTCAGACCCACATCTATCGCTTCGCCTGACCGTCAGCGGCTGTTTGAAACTCCAGGCTGGGATGGCGAGGGTCCAGATGGAGGGATGGGAATGTTGGCAGATTGGGCTTTCCATGGGCAGCGCCAAGCAGATCATAGCATGTGCGAGTGCTCCCGACCACACACCATGAACATTAGAATGCGCTTTTGGATTTCATATCGTGGTGGTACCCTAGAAAAAGCAGTTTCCCGCCATGCAACATGTGTGGGTGAATATGTCAGCATATTTCTGTTGAACCCCCCAAATCTCACAAACTTCTGGATCGACTGGACTTCGTACCAGATCAGTTGCATTCAAGAGGGAAACTGCTGACAATCTGGGTCTAGATGGGTGTAGCCAACAGTTAACAGTGCCAGATATGGCGCGATAATGCGCGATAATCCTTTTCTATGGTGAGCAGTGGTGCTTGAGAAGATGAAGAAGAAGGATGAGGATGAGAATGATGATGAGAATGAGAATGATGATGATGATGATGATGATGATGATGATGATGAGGATGACGATGACGATGACGATGATGATGATGATGATGACGACGACGATGATGACGATGATGACGATGATGACGATGACGATGACGACGACGATGATGACGATGACGATGACGACGACGACGATGAGGATGACGATGATGATGATGATGATGATGATGATGATGATGATGATGCTGCTGATGATGATGATGATGCTTATTATTATCATTACTATTTTTGATGATTGATGATTGATTATTGATGATTGATTATTGATGATTGATGATTGATGATTGACGATTGATGATTGATGATTGATGATTGATGATGATAATGATGATGATGACGATGAAGATGATGATGATGATGATGGTGATTGATGATGATGATGATGATGATGATGATGATGATGATGATGTTGTTTTTGTTGTTGTTGTTGTTGTTGTTTTTGTTTGCAATCACCACAAGTGACCACAAAATGAGCACCGTTGCCACCCAGTGCTCAAAAACGCCGTTCCTCGCGGGGCGAACCGTGCAGCCGGGGGAACGCCATGGCGGCTTCTAGCCGGGATCCAGGCAGACACCCAGTTTTTCGGGATGGTGTGTCACATTGTGGTTGAGATACCAGGAATCTTCCTTATTTTTAACGGGGGTCCCTTTGTGATGTGATTTCCCATGATTGGCCCTGGAAAAAAGCTTGGGCAATGACCCCAAACTGAGTTTCAGAAACTGCGGCAGGCAACTCGTTGAACCCTTTCTTCCGCGCTGTGAGCCGTTTCCGGCAGAGAAGATGGGACGAGTGCATTGATATTTGCACCGAGTTGCTGGAACAGTCCCTGGGCGGAGAATGGGCGGCGAATGAGGGGGGAACATGGGCGGAGATTTGCTGCGTCAGAAGTTAGTCATCGTCCGAACTGGAGGATCTAGTTTCTAATTGACATTTTGTTTCCCAGAAATGGTCCAGAAAGCAGACGACCTCATACGTTTATGAAGTTTGCCCTACTTGTGTTCCTTACTGCAAATCCCCTGAGCACTTGGCGGAACTACGCTGGTCAGTCGCCAGTTGCTTTAAGGAATCCGCGTGACCAGGCGGCATGGTTTCTGAAGTGCAGAGCTCTGACCAGCAAGCAATGGATCGACGATGTGGAGACGCTTGTCATCGCTTGCCTTTGCAGCGGGCAACTGGTAGCCGCGGCTAGTAAGTAGTAGCTAGCCCCCGCTTATCCCATTCATTCCCATTCCAAGATAATAATATGAGTCTTGAGACAATGATAATCAATGATAATCAATGATAATCAATGATAATCAATGATAATCAATGATAATCAATGATAATCAATGATAATCAATGATAATCAATGATAATCGATGACAATCCATGATAATCAATGATAATCAATGATAATCAATGATAATCAATGATAATCAATGATAATCAATGATAATCAATGATAATCAATGATAATCAATGATAAGTGATTTCTGTATATTTCTGTATGTTATGTCCAAGGGTAATGAGTGATTTTCTCATAAGTTGTGGACGACTCGACGACCTTGGCTGAGGATTGATGAGGAGGGTGTGGCTGACTTGCTGCTGGACGAGCGGCCTGGCCAAAAAGTTTTGGAGCGTCCTGGACCTAGGACAATTCCACCCATTAACAACCCTTAATGACCCTCAAAAGCATTGGTTGAATGCTGGATCCATTCATTTTAGGTTTATATTTGAGAAGGTTCATCGATATGAGAACAGAATTAATCCTTGAGAAAGCCTGTTTGATGCTGGGGACCATTATTGAAACATATTGAAACCCTAGGTGACTTTAGGAAAGAGAATTGTTCATACGGGAAAGTTCTTTCTCGCAGATTTTGAGGGCGCAACAATCAGCATCCTGGGCTGGTGAAGGGATGATGAACATCAGAACTTGATCAACGGCCAAACCTTTCAGGGGAATTTGGCTTTGGATGTCCAATTGATTGCTCCTGTGTTTTGGCTAGCTGCTAGCTGATACGCGAAAAGCTGTTTGCGAAGTACCAACCCAGCTTATTCCATTGATTAGATTGATTGATTTGAATCCATCTTCTTGTAGGTCATGTCCATTTGTGTTGCTGAATTTCCCACCTCATGGCTGCTGTGTTTTTTTCTCTATTTTTTTTTCGATTTTTTTCGTTGGTAATAAGTTACAGGTTCAGAAAGCCTCTTGTTTCTCCTGGTTGAAGTGGGAACAGATCCAAATTCACTCAAGATTCAGCATGTAAATCCCCATCATGTTTGCATGCTAAGCGAAAATAATGAAAACTAAGAGAGAGAGAGAGAGAGATCTTAAATAATCCAAAAATAAATTACACTCCCATATTTTATCATGGGTTTTGCAAAAATGTACCAACCTCTCCCAAGTCATCTCCACGTCCTGTTGCGACTCACCTGAGGAATGCGGTGGCACAGGCGCCACGCCCGGGCACATCGTTGCACAGGCCCCGAACGGAGCCTTATCTGCAGTGACCATCCATGGAGATGGAAAAGGAGTGGGGTAACATGGGGTAACCAATGTTCACCAAATGTTAACCACTGGATTTTATGATTCTGTGCTTTTTCCCTCTTTGAAGGGGTTTGCAATGGAAACCAAGGGACATCTGGGGATTGAACCGGGATCCACTCCCTGCACCGCTGGGATCGCCCAGGAGAGCGGCTCGGGTCCCTCGCAGGTGGTGCGCCCGGTCTCCGCCAGCGGGCGGCCTCTGACGGGCTTCGCACGGCCGGGCACCAACCGACCCACCAGCTCGTCACAGGGCTCGGCAAGGGCGGTTTTGAGGTGGTCAAGCTAAGGACAACGCCTTAAAATCTAATAAAAAGGGAGATGATTTATAAATTGGGCCAGCTTGGTGTAGTTGATTTTTTCGACTCCAAAAATTGCTGGGCAGTGTCAGTGTTTAAAGCGACTAATTGGTGGCCCTTTTGGGCTTGTAATGTGACCCTTTTCAGGCTGAAGTGATCTCACACCAGGGAAGAATTCTGCGGTCAGTGAGTATCCTTTAAATTGGCGATAAATAGCGATTTAAGATCTATAATTAGCTAAAGCTATGTGTGATGGGGGAAGCAGCACAAACGTCGTGGTCCCTCCAAGTCCCTTTGTTGCATTCTTTTTTTGAACAACAATGCTGTATGGGTAGAATCCAAGCATATTCCGTAGTACAGACGCAAGTTCATTTTTTGACAATGCCTGGATCTGTAAGGCTAAGGCCAGTGTTGAATTTAAACTTGGTCATGGTGCAGATGAAGTCTGAAAGGATGGAGTGGTGATGTCCCACACCTGAGGTCGGCTGGCAGAGACATCACCACGGCCATGCAAGGCAACCGCCCTGGCACATCAAGGCGGAAGGGAGCACTGCCAGGTGGTTTAGCGAGTTTAGTGATAGTCACCTAATATAATCTCACTCTAGTCATGATGCTAAACCCATAATTTTTCATAATTTTTCATAATTTTTCATCAACTGATGGTTTGCACCCATCATTTTTCAACCGTCCCCAAGCGATTCCCATTCAAATCCATGGCTGGTATAAACCAACCATAAACCACCCATCCCCAACTGCTGGGTTGCTGGGTTGATGTCTACGATAGGCCGTTGACCTCCATGGGGCGACTCCTTCGACTGGGGACGGCCTCCATGCAGCAGGCTGGGCCACTGGGGTGGCTGGCCTGGTGGCTGCATAGGTGGTAACCCCTGCCATAAGCCCATGGGGATGATACCACCAATCTATGGTAATACCATCTGGTAAACTAACATAGCTATGGAAAATCACCATTTTCAATGGGAAAATCCACTATAAACCAGAGGGTATTCTGTAATATTGGGGATGGTTGATGTTGGGTTTACCACATTAAGCCATTGATATGCCATTGATATGTGGGAGCATGGAGAAGCCCGGAAACTTCCGGAAACTAAGACAAAAAAACGTGGCATGATCCTCCAGGGCACTGCCCATCGCCCAGGATGGCGGTGAATTTGTCCGCTTGGAATCCCTAGATCTGCAGAAGTATGCGCAGAGGCCTGCCATTGCCAAGGCGCTCTGTGACTATATGTGCCTTGTCAGACGCTTTCTGTGACCTCTGCTTCTATCCTGACATGAGCCAATGTGGCAATCAATCAATTAATATCGATTACTATCAATTATATATCAATTATAAATGAAATATCAAATGTAGCACTGTGCAACTATCAAACATTATGCAACGCGTCTTTTTTGCTGCGACAATCAAGGGATAGCTTGACCTTCTGTTTCCCCACAGTTTTCCATAGGCGCAAGCCTGTTTGGAGGCTGACTCAGGATGAACACCAGATAGGCTTATTACCTGCAGCAGTTGACCAGCACAGCCACCAAAACTATCAAAACTGCCCTTGATTTGGCTCAAGTTATCCAAGTGCTTCCTGCGTCATGTCCTCCGCAAGTGCTGAAGGTGTGGCCTTGGCCCCCGCCTTCGTGGGCCCTGTAGTCCGTGCCCCAGCCCCAGTGGCACGCCCGCAGCAAGGCACCCGGCCATCACAGGACTCCGCTGGTGCGGCATCAACGCTGCAGACGTTCATGTTGGGCACTGCTGGGGCTGCGGCCTGCCGCCGCGCGGCGCGCGGGGTTTCCACTGCAGCACGAAAGGTGGTGCCAAGAGCCAAGATTGGACAGAGGCTGCAGGGACGAAGTGTGACTTCGCCACTTGGCGCAAGTTTGGTGGGCCTGAAGGCGTGGGGTAGAATGGATGAAGATGCTATAGGTAAATTTTCCTGCAACTCTTGGCATCTGAACATGTTTTGAAGCTCAGGTTGCAGGCGGAAGCCCAGCCACAACGTGTGGCCATGCAGGCCACCGCAGTGGCTGAAGCTCCCACAAAGACTTACGAGGTTGGCGAAAAGCTCCACGGCTGGACGTGCGCCCGTGTTGAGTATGTGAAGGAGTTTGGCTGCACCGGCTACCTGTTCCAACACGACAAAACAGGCAGACGTCGAGTTGATATCTGAAATTTTGGCTCTGTAGGAGTCAGGACTGGTCGACTGGTAATATTAATCAGCCCTGAATGTACCATTATTGTGTTGCTTAAGCTCCGTTAACAATGAAAACCCCATGATAGCTCCAGTATATCAGGATGGTTGCTAAATCCCACGCATTTCTGGGGTGGATTCACCTCTGATGCCACTCCAGCCGAAAAATCCAGGCGCCGAGCTGCTGTCCATGGTGCAACCGGCCGACGAGAACAAGACCTTCAGCGTGGTCTTCCGCACGCCACCGGAGAACTCCAATGGCATCGCACACGTCTTGGAGCACTCGGTGCTCTGCGGCAGTAGGAAGTATCCGGTGAAGGAGGGGGGCACCGGTGGTATAGAACGGGTGGTAGAAGTGGCAATGCTTGGGAATGGCCGGGAATGGTGGATTTACCATGATTTACCGTGATTTACAATGACTTACCATGATTTACGGTGATTTATGATTTACCCTTCGCTAATCACACATGATTTCCCCAAATCAGGATGGACTGCACACAATTATCTATAACAAATGCGAATTTTCGGAGGGCATATGGATTTTAAAGCGATGGCCAGCAGTCCGGATGAATGGAATGGTCATGTCATGTCACGTCACGTCATGTCCTCCCTAGTTGGTGATTTCACATTTTTTGCGGTTTTCAATTTTCAATCGCCAACCGTTGGATGACTACTCTTTTCATAGGTCATAGGGGAGTTGAACCCACCAGCCAATACCAATCAGGGGGTGGGATCTGTGTCCCTTATGTCAATTTGCTTATGCAGCTTATGCATGAAATGGTTCCTTGGGTGGGTGGGTGACCGTGGCCAACATCAACAACGCGGGCCCCCGGTAGGAGCCATTCGTTGAACTCATGAAGTCCAGTCTGCAAACCTTCCTGAACGTCTCTTGGCGGCCTGGGTTCAAGTGATGATCCTTGGTCACTTGTAATGGTGGTTGTGGTGGTGGTGGCTGTTCTTAGGTGGGTCCAAGATCAGCAAGAAACAGGCCAAGCCTTGATGATGGCGGCAATTGTCCCATTCCAAGGCCATGACTTTCCCAGACCGCACCTGCTATCCGGTCGCCAGCTGCAACCTGAAGGATTTCTACAACTTGATCGACGTTTGGGGGCTCAGGGGTTGCCAGATGCCGGCGGTGTCAATGTCATGTGGGTCCAAGAAGGTGGAAAGTCAGGGAACCCCAAATAGATTCACCAAGATTGTCTGTTGAAGGGGGGGGCAAAACATGGCAAACCAGTCCTGACAAATTGGAGGATGATCCGGACTCTGGACAGATTCATTTGGACGCATCAGGTCTATATGGATGCGGTGTTCTTTCCACGTGCGGTGAACGACCCCCTGGTGTTGGCACAAGAGGGTTGGCACTATGAAATCGAGAAGAAAGATGACCCTTTGACCTTCAAAGGAGGGGATTTGGGAGGGAACATCACTGTCAGCTTGAAAAGGAGACTTTGAAACAGCGCCCATCAAGATACATGAGGGGGCAGTTCCTTGCGTTTGATCATTTCATGACGGTGCGAAGCGGATGCAAGATGATAGAAGGGTGGTGGTAGAACGATGAGAAAAACCATGGAGAATAGTGACTGAATACAATATGCGTACACACACATATATATATATATTATGTATATATATACACTGTATATATATGTATATATGTATATATATATACATATTATGTATTTGAGTAATCATGCCTAATCTATATACACAAGAAGTGCGGAAACCGCAGGTCCATGCGAAAGCGGTGCCCAAATACTCGCCTTTGGGGATCATGAATCCCAACAGGTGTGGTCTTCAATGAGATGAAGGGTCTCTACTCCAACCCTGATGCCTTGCATGGTCGCACCGCTAACCAGTCCATGTTCCCAGACAACCAGTTCTTCGGCGCTAAGCAGGAGATGCCTCAAGAACTGGCACCAATATTTTTTGTGGTAAAGATCTACTGTCAACGTAGGACGACAAAAACATTGAGGTTTAATCCTAAGCAACCAGCCTGCAACTAGGTATGGTGTGGATTCTGGAGGCGACCCCAAGGACATTCCAAGCCTTACCTTCGATTACTTCAAGGACTTCCACAGCAGCTTGGTGGTTGGGAGCTAAGGAGCCATAGATTTTCAATGGCTAAGTCTAAGCCGCTTAAAAAGGCTTGAACATTGCTAAACCTCTTCAATTTTCGATGGCTTCTTTTTCTTCCTTTTATATACATATTGTCATATATTGTCATATTTGTATACATTGTACATATATTTGTTCCTTTCTATCTGATTTGGTGGTTTTTGCGATCAATCCGGGTCCCGGTGGCTCTGATCCAAGCATCTCCAAGGCAAGTACTACCACCCCAGCAACGCCAAGTTTTGGTTCTACGGGGACGACCCGGCGGATGCGCGGCTTGAGCTAGTGGACCAGTACCTGTCCCAGTTCGAGAAGATCGAGGTGGGCGCCGAAAGATGGAGGGTTCATGGAGGGATCCTAGGTGATATCCATGATGGATATTATCTGGTTGGTGGTTTCAAACATGGCTTTTATTTTCCGTTTCATATATGGGATAATCATGGATAATCCTTCCCATTGACGAACTCATATTTTTCAAGATTGTTAAAACCACCAACCAGATATATATATAATATTTGGAAATATTGGATAATATATGGTTAAAACCACCAACCAGTTATGGTAGAAAATGAATGATCGGATGATCGGAGTGAGTCCCCCCAGAAACGGAGTGAGTCTCAACGGTCTCAACGACCAGAGGGAGATGCAACTTGCCACAGCAAAGCAGCAAGCATTGTGATATGCTTTCCGAATCCTCTATGATAAGTATACTTAGGGATTTTCTGGGATTTTCTTACCCTTGACCTAGCCCTGCCAGGTGGATTCGCAGATCACGGTGCAGCCCAAGTTGACCGAACCCAGGAGGATTGTGGAGGATTTCGCTGCAGGCGAGGATGAGGACATCTCTAAGAAGATCATGATGAGCATCAACTGGGTCATTTCCGAGGGCAGCTTGGCGCCCGTTTTTCGCATTTTTTTTCGGGAAAGGGGAGTGATGGACAGATTTGAATGATGGCTCTTGGGAGGGAACAGGATGATAGCCAGAGGTGAGAGAGGTACAGTAGAGAGATTGGTGTCTACAATTTTCCAATGCATTTAGAAAGGAGACTTCACGGAGGTATGGGTAGAGCCGGTATAGCTGCACGTGTCCCAAGTTACCACATTCTGACCAGTTCATCCAAGCCTTCAGACTACCGAGGCAAGGAAGACCTCCAGACCAGCCTGGCCTTGCAGTTTCCTGGCGACAGCATGCGACAGATGGGAGGATTTGGAGGAAACCTCTACATTTACCAGAAGAAAAACCCATGGGAAAAACCAGTATTTCCCATTGCCCCTCAAAATGTCCCAATCCAATGACTGGGGCCTCAAAATGATGCATTTTGAGAAACTGAGGGATCTTGCACGGTGTTGAAATATCTGGGTAATTCATAGCTCCTCCATTGCCGCAAGCTCATTGGCTACCAGGTTCCTCAACTACCTGATGATGGGCACCCCCGCGAGCCCCCTTTACAAGGCCTTAGTGGACAGCGGCCTGGGTTCCCGTGTCATTGGAGGAGGCTTGGATGATGGCATGTTGCAAGCCACCTTCAGCGTGGGATTGAAGGATGCTTGGACCGCCGATGATGTTGGCTAGCCAAAACACTTGGGATATTGTAACATCGACGGATTCTTTTTTTTTTAACTAGTGGCCGAGTGGAAACCAGAAAAAACATCCGTTGCAACCTTGCCAGCATTTCCCACCATGAATTCGACCTCCCAAGGACCTGAAGGAGGAAGATGTGCCCAAAGTGGAGGAGCTCATCATGAAGACCTTGGAGGCGGGCCACAGCTTCATCATGGTACCCTCTGGTAAGTTCACATAGCTATGGAAAATGATGGAACATCACTATTTTCAATAGCTAAATATAGGTACATCTTGGTAATTCATCTATAAATGGGTCATTCTCCCATAATTAGCTATGTTAAATTACCAGAGGGTATATCATGTTACCCTCTGGTAATTTAACATAACTATGGAAAATCACAATTTTCAATGGGTAAATCCACTATAAATGGCCATTTTCAATAGCTATGTTAGTCATTACCAGAGGGTATACACCGTGTTGTGTTGGTTGACATCTTTGATGTCCTGCGCAGCGTGGCTGGTAGAATTGGCAGATCGTCGCATCCTTTGGAGCATTCTTCTTGATGCGTGTACCCTCTGGTAATGACTAACATAGCTATTGACAATGGCCATTTATAGCGGATTTTCCCATTGAAAATGGTGATTTTCCATAGTTACTGTATGTTAAATTACCAGAGGGTACATTGAATTATCACATCATTGTGTCATTATTTCCCCTGGGTTTTGAACAGAATTCCTGATTGGTAGTTTCAAGGATTTGTTCAGCAGAAACGGGATGATGACCCAATGATCTGCCAATCAGAAAATCAGTCCTTTTATATATAAAGATATTTACTCTGGGTGTATATAAAGTCATAGTTGGTGGATGTTGGTAGTAAATTCCACGCAATAATGTTTGATGGGGTTTTCCTTAAGTCATCAACATTCACTCTCAACACATGACAATTCAGCAAACCTCTAACTTGGAATTAATTCTTTTTCATGGTAACTCAATCCATTAAATTTCTGGTTTTTCATGCTTTCGCTGTTTCTTGCTATTTTTGATGGGTTTTCCTTGAAATCCGTATTTTTGGATTGTTTTCCCACTCAAAACAATTTTTGCTTCACCCCCGGTGCTGCAGGAGCTGGCTGAGAAGGGCTTTGAGAGCGACGATATCAAGGCTGCAGTGTCCCTTAGGCTATCTTGGGCTGGAGGGGAAGAATGGGGATGAGTCAAAACCATTCAAAACCTATTAATTGCACCATTTTTTTTGGGATGAACATCCAGAAATCATCCAGAAATCCTACAGTGTAAGGTGAAAAAAAGGTGAATAGATGGCTGCCAGGGTTTTGACCCATAGCCAGCTTGGTGGTAAATTTGTAACTCCAAGAACATCCAAGAACTAGGGTTTATGAATGTTTATGATATCACGATAGTTCAAGGGGATTTTGCAAAGCAACTTAGAACTGGGGACCCTGCACCATACTTTTTTTGGGATGAATCATCCATAGATCCCAGCTATTTGAGGGTGAACAGAAGGCTGAACGGTGTCAAAACCCATAGCAAAATGTCCGAACATTGAACTTGAGGCATAGAATAGGCATCTCAAATTCACACCTCGGGGGTACAAACGACAGACAGAGGCCCAAAGTAGATCGGCTTTTGGAGCAATTTGAGTCCACGTGTTTTCACCTTGCGTATCGAGCAACTTGGGGTAGATATGCCCTGTGCATCCCTGTGCTATGATTCTATATATCTCAGGATGATAAATGTTTTAAAGGTCCATGGGATTCTCTGTGATTTGCAAGAATGACACCGTCCTTGTGGAGCGATTTGACATGGGGAACCAGTTGATTCAAAAAACCCAGGAAAGAGGCATGGATGATGGGACAGTTGCAGGAAACTTTTGACAAATTAAAACCAGAGTTTCCGGTATATATGGTATATGATATGAGGATTTGACAAAATGAGGGTTCATAACCACACAATGGGTTCCAATACTAAGTCATGGTCGAACGACTTGGATGATTTGGGTTGCCCCCCATTTTAGAAAGACTATGAAACACACCCCCAGAAACTATAGTTTATATAGTAGGGGATTTCCACATAATTGGGACCATTTAGGGGGTTCTTAATATTTGTGTAATCACCCAACCGAGGAACACCATCGAGTTCCAGAACCGCGAGCTGAACACCGGCAGCTTTCCCAAGGGCCTGGCCCTGCTCTTTGCCGCGAACTCCAACTGGAACTACGACAAGGCGCTTCTGGGGCTGGGGGACTCCGACAAACGTGGCAAAAATTCCATGATATTCCCTTGACATAGGATGGCAAGATTCCATCAGCTTACAACCAAACAAAAATCATAGCAACTCAAAACATTTCATCTTATAAATAGTTTTTATAAGATAAAATCTAATTTTCCAACTTCTTTGAATTCTCTTGATGTATTGTAGTTAGTGTATGCCTCTTCCAATTCCCAGTTTGAAGTTCTGATTTACATACAGGGCAGGTCATCCATTTTATTTTAGCATTCACTTGTTCAATATTTTCTGCTCTATGTTTCCTCCTTCTAGCATTAATTTCCTCTCTATGTTCCTTGCCATATTTCTTAGCATATTCTTTTGCCTCCTCTATATGATTATGATAATAGCTCATCCTCCTAGCATTATATTTTTTCTTTGTTCTTCCGATGATTAGCCCTCATATATTCTCTACATTTATCACAAGTTTTGTATTTACCCTCTTCCATTTCCTTGAAACATTTAGCACACTTGATTTTAGCATCCTCCAATACCTAGTATAGATAGGCAATCTCTCTTTAAGTGTTTTTCCTATCCTTTTTCCCTAGATTATCATACAATCAACAACAAAAGCAAAACACATAACAATAAAAGAACAAAACAAAACAACCTAAACAATACAATAGACTATAAAATAGACTACACCAAAAAACATAACAACACCACCTTACCCACCTTTCACATCTTTTCCAAGTAGGAAATCAAAATCCTACTTCAAGACCACCCTTTTCCAAGTAGGAAATCAAAATCCTACCCAGTAGGAAATCAAAATCCTACTTCAAGACCACCCTTTTTCAAGTAGGAAATCAAAATCCTACCCGGTAGGAAATCAAAATCCTACTTCAAGGCACAGTATTCAATGGCAAGGCGTAGCATCTAACCAAAACATACAACATTTACAGCGGTCATAATTTCTTCAACAAGCGGTTCCGGTATTCTATATAACTCGTCCTGTGTATGTTTAACGCAGTTGCTCCAATCAATGTTTTTATCCCTGCTTGATGGTAAGCGTTGCGCTGTTTCTTTGTGCCTGTTTCCATCCATATTTCCGCAATCTTTTTGGCATAAAGGTCTTGGTTTCCAATTGGTAAGATTACACCAGAGGCGAGTGCGCTTCCTGTAATTAAAACCGTATTTACAGTAATCAACATCAAAACAAAATAATCAAGGTCATTCATAAACTCCTGTTTCTTCAATAAACCACTTTGGGGATTTTCTATTACAAAGACCGTCGGTTTGAAATAGTCAATGATTTCAAGAGTTTTCAATACTATTTTATTTGCTTCGTCAATTTTTCTTATACCCACCGTTTTTGCCCTACTGTATTCGGTACGGGGAGGGGAAGCATGTATAAAATCAAAGTATCCTGATGGATATTGCCTATAATCCCATTCCAGTATATCACAATTGATATCAGCATCTTTTAAATCCAATGACACAACATGCAAGTGAAATTTTTTCGCAACGGTTCCAACACTGCCGGTGCCTGAAAAAAGTTCAAGTAATTTCATAGATAATAATATTATGTATAGATAATAATATTATTAACTATATTGATGAAAAATCTGCGTTTTTTTAATCAACATTGTGTTATTTAGAAAGAACAAATATTAATCAATTAGTTTATACTCATCTCCATCTTTTACAATCCTATAATATTCAGGAGTTTGACTTTTCGACATCTTCACTTTTCCCTCATTAAGCATTTTCAGATACTGCTTTTGCTTATCTGAAAATGTGCCGCGAGGTCTACCTACTTGTTTTGCTTCAAATATTTTATCAAGTTTTTCTTTCTCCTCCTCACTACTGACAGTTTTAGCACTCACAACATTATCAATCTTCTTATCAATTTCTTCAAGTTTGGTTAAAACTAATTTTACCTGTTTAGCGTATTTGTTGAACTTATCCATCATCTCTTTCATTTCACTTGGTTTTTCATCTCCACTACTTGAAGTCATAAAACTATATTATTTATTTAGAAATTAAGTTATTTAATTATTTATTTATAGGTTTTATTTGTGACAAAAACTACTCTTTAAATAGTTTTGAATATCACTTTTTCATTACTTCCCTTACTATCTTGCTTACTTCTTGTGCGTGTTTCTCATCTTCTGGCGTGATGTTTCTGTTGAATGATAGTCTCATTTCGTGCTCTCCTGTCTCTAATTCAATGTCTCCATTTTCTTTCTTATCAATATTGATTGTTTTAGATGAACTGCTGATTTTGAAATTACAAGGGTTAAAATTACAACGACAACCTTTCTTACTACTTATCTCAATCTGATTTTGTAGTTGAAGGCAGGTATTACAAGCAGGACAATGGAAATTTAAAGCATTCTGGACTTGCTTGATGTCCTCTTTGTTTATTTCAGTGTTTTCTTTCTTTTTTGGCATCTATATAAAGTCCTATATTATAAATCAGCACTTTAAGGATTTCAAGTGAGTATTTACAGCAGATTTTAATTTTGTTATTTGTGACAACTGGGTATTTAGTGTCATCAACAACTCTATCTTCAATAATATCAATATCCTCAATGTATCGTCTATATCCATCCATATATAAATATAATTAGATTATATGTTAAAATATAATCTAATTATACTTATACATAGCATTTAGCACTGTGGGGCGGGGTTCAAAAGACGAACTAATTCACACATCTTCTGTTGCTTCTAAGGGACTGCGACGATGGTTTAATTAACTGTTCTTCGTTCTTATGACGGGTAAATGACAGTCTGTTCCAAATCCTGCGATTGCGAAGCGTCGCAATGCTCCTGACCCCTTTTTTCAAAGGAGCAGTCGCGACCCCTATTCCAGCAAGATATGATATGTCATTACAATATATAATAGAACATATTTTCTTAAATAGATTATATTATGAATAATTCTGTTCCTATAATAAAACCTCATAAGTCAGCAGAATATGAGTTCCAACAATCTAAATACGATGTAGCACCAAGGATACCGTTCTCCCAAATTGTAGTTGGTCCGTCGGGTTCTTGTAAAAGTATTTTATTGCAAAATATGATATTAGACATTTACCGCGGTTGCTTCCAAAGAATATTTATCTTCTCTGCTAGTATTCATGTTGATAGTGTGTGGCATCCTGTTAAGGAATACATTGAGAGAACATTGAAAGTCAATCCCAAGAAAGAGAAGGTTTATTTTGATGAGTTCCACAACGAGGATTTAGAAGACATATTAGAGCAACAATACAAAATCAGTCAGTTCCAAAAAGACCATAAATTTAAAAAACTGTTTGCTACATTAGTTGTTGTTGATGATTTTGTAGACCAAGTGTCCTTTTCAAAACATAATAGTATGTTAAATGCTCTTTACATACGAGGTAGGCATTTTGGGGTAAATGTGGTGTCCTCCTCTCAAAAGTTTAATTCGTTAAGCACTATTATTAGGGTTAATAGTCGGCAGTTATATTTTTTCAAGATGAGAAACTACAAAGAAATCCAGACAATGGTTGAAGAGTTGTCGGCACTATTGATAAAAAGAAATTTCATGGATTATAAAAATATACATAATGCTAGACATACTTTACTGGAAATTTATGAAAAAGCAACAGAAGAAAAGTTTAGTTGCCTTTTTGTTAATTTGATGGAAAGTGATATTAATGATGTATTTAAAATTAGATTTGATAAAAAGATAATTGTTGATGATAATATTTGATAATATTATTTAAATATAATATTATTAAATCAAACTTGCTAAATAATTTTGATGTTTTTTGGTTTTTAAATGCCTTGATTTATTGAAGAAAGAATAAGAACTACCACAATCACATTCAATTTTGCTTTTAAGTTTCTCTATGTTTTGCTTGTAATGCTCTTTTGTGTATTCAGCTTTTTTCTCTTTATTCAAAGCATAGTAATGTTTCTTACACGCCATTTTTCGGTTTTGTTTCACTTCATCAGGCATATTTTGTCTATACACCTTTGCTTTTTCACTAATGACATCTTTATTGTTTACCTATACAATAGTCTGCTTTATATTCTTTCAAACGCTCTTTGTTTTCATTTAACCAATCTTTTAATTCATTGAATGGTAGTCTGTTATTTAGAGTTGCATTTAACTCTTCTATGTATTTTCTTTCTTGCCGTCGTGCTTCCAAGTTGTTTTCCATATTCAAAGTATCTATCAAAATCATATCAAAGTGTTCCCATCCACCTTTAGCACGAATAAACTGATATAATTTCTGTTCATAATCAGCACTATTTCAATTATAGCACAAGTTCTTATGAGCGGATTTTCTATTTTTGAAATTTAATGTGTGTCCTACATAACAATCTTTGATATTCAAGTCTTTACAGACTATCTTGTAAAAATGTGTTTTGCTATAATCCATCTTTTTAAGAGGCATTATAAATTATAAGGTATTAAAATGTATTATAGATATGTCTTTAAATATAAATCAAAACAATGAAGCACTACAAAATTGTAAGTCTGGCAGTTTGTATAGGATTTTGTTTTGCTTTTCCCTTTCTAACTTTTCAACCCTTTCTGTTAAGTTGTTTTAAGAACAGTCTTCAGTTCTTCTATACAGTTATTTTCAATCTTAGTTTCCCTATGTCCCATTATATTATTATATATTTTAATTATCTTTACTTTTTGATTTTGCCTTTACCTTTGGTTTAGGTTTCATTAACTCTTTCATTGCTTCTTGTAGTTCGTAAACCGATGCTTCCAAATGCTCTATTTTTTGTTGTTGTTCCCTCACAGCACCCCATAAAATAGAGTTCATCTTAACATAACTTAATTTCTTAATACCATCAACTTCAACGAGGATATTCTCAACTTTTTCTGGTATATTTTCTTTTACATCCTCTGCTATAAAACCTATATGAGATTTAGTTATTCCCATTTCTTTTTCTTCTTTAATTTTCAAAGTATGAGGTTTAATGCTATTTACTATTTTTGTAAAATTGAAGTCTGCTTCTTCAATATCATATTTCATATCTTTTTGTGATGTATCCACTAAATCGCCTTCTAATGTATAAGGTGCTGGAACAGAAACTTTTGATGGAGTAACAAAAAGTCTTACGCTATTATTAGCATAAAATCTTATATCTCCTTAGGGTCTTCATTGTATAACTTGAAATGATTAACACCTGCTGTATTTTCATTAAATATATAACTATTCTTACCAGTTTCTTTATGAACATATGCCTTTTTGTCTTGATTGGCATATATATCTTTTGAAAAATTAACATCTTCGTCTGCTTTTCTGTATCTCATATATTCTACCAAACCGTCATCTGTTGTATTACTGCCTTGAAAAACCATATCAGCACCATAATTTCTATTGTAAAAATAATCTCCATAAATATATTGAGACGACAACGCCCTACCTGTTGAAACATCAATAATATTTTTAGTGCCATCTAATGTAAAGAAATTAACACCGCCCCTTTTAAATACTACATTAGTAGGAGTTGCGCTATCAATTACGTCAAACTTACCACTTTCAGCAAGTAATGATACACCTGTATTTACTTCTACAGTACCATTTCTAAAATACATAAAATCTATATATTGTGTTCCTTCTAAAACTGACATCAACATTACCGATACTATCATAAGTGTTTGATTTAGCACCTTTTGTTAGTTCCACTGCTTGTAGCGTTCCTTCAAACTTCATATATTCAACATCACCCCTTTTAAAGACTCAATCAACATCAGTAGCATTTTTAGTATTGATGACATCAGTTTGTAATTCAGTACGGCACACAACATCTACATTAAAATACGCCTGAGTGTTTGATAATTGAAACTTTAAGTGTTGAGGAAACGGACTACCACCAACATAAAACCGATGTAATCCACCAGAAGCAAAAATACAATAATCATAACCAGTATTACCACCTCCTACATTGATAGAACGGATATAACCTTTACCAGTTCCTAAAACAACTGTCCCTCCAAGGACTAACTCTATACTTGAAAGAAAATAAGCAGAACCATTAACCGTTAAGTCAAAACTACCAAATTGAGCACCACAACCTAAAACTAAATCGCCTTCTATTGTTTGTAATGCCTGACCAGTATATTTAACTAAATTAGTGTCATCAACACCTCCACCTCCATTATCTGGACTTGTAGGCTTATGAAATGTAATTAAATTATTTTGTAATGTCATAACCAAATTAGTTGTAGCATCCGGCACTGCAGGGCTTCCAACATAAAATTTAATTTCACCCGTGCTCTCGTTCATTACATAATTCATTGCGGTTGATGCGTTCTTGCTTTCAATATAATCACATGTCTATTTCTTGGGTTGTTAGATTGCCACCGCATTGGATTAATTTACTTGCTACAATTTTAGTTTCAGAAACATCATATTGTATGTAAGTATCGCTGTTGCTTTGAAAAAGTATATCATTGGTATTGAGGGCATTGAATGTATTTGACTGAATATTTAAACCTTTGATATAACCGCTACTATCTAATGATGCTACTAAAAGATTACTGCTTATCTCACTATCTCCATTACCATAAAAGTCTTTGCTCGATGCTACACCATTCAAAATTATTTTTGATAGACCATCAATGTGTCCCAGTCTCAAAGTGCCTGACATATCCTGTGGATTGTTGATATTAAGTTTGTCATTCAGTAGTGTATCTGTCTCTGATTTACTATATTTATTGTTTAATAACGCATCTGTCTCGGTTTTATTATGGTAATTTGTTAGGTCAGCACCACCTCCACCACCTCCATTGATGATTGCTGTATTGACATAACTTTCTGTAGCAAGGTTTGAAGACCCACTGATTTCTAACTTAATGAATTCAGTTGCCATGATTGTATTGCCACCATCTAATTGTAATGCCATATATTAATAATTAGATTTTTATAATCTAATTATTAAATTTATTTTATCTCCTTTAGTTTTACTTGAAAACATATTTTGACATAAATTATTGTATTTTTCTTTCTTTTGTTTTACGAATTGTTGTTGGAGGAGTGCGTAATGTTGAGAAAGGGCACTAACTGGATTAATTGGTTGGGGTAGGGCACTTTGTGCCCCAGCACTCTGTGGTGGCTGCTTTTTTCTTATCAATGGTTGTTGTGGCACTTCTTCTTCTTCATCGCTGTAATATATTTCTCGTGGGGGTTTTGTCAGGTTGAGCTTGGGATTTTGTGTCATTTCTCAGCATCTTTTCCTCAAACCACTCGGGCACGCTTTTTAGCTCGGTGTGGGCAATTTCCATGGCGCTGTTCGTTTTGTTGGCCACCATCCTTGCAATGAGTGGAGGTGAAAACAGGACCGTTAAAGTCAATGAATGCGACATGGATCCCCAAAAGAAGCCTTGGAGAGAGGGTGACTACGGCCCATGCTACAAAGATACAGGCCCGAATCATAAGAGACTAAATTGTTGTTGCCAAAAGTGGAACTTGAAGGCGGAGTGGAACTGTGAAGAGAAGTGGCATCGACATCCAAAGCGTGTAAAGTGCGATCTTGGGAACTTTTCGTTTCAAAGCAAGGATGTCTTACTACCATGGTGTCATGGCAGCGCAACGTATCAGTGCAAGGGATCCAGCTTCATATGCGAGAGGAAATTCGATCGGCGGCGAAGGGGGCGAAGGGTTTAGTGCAGCTAGTGAGAGGGACTGTATAGTTTGCTTCGCGGACATTGCGACTTGGCTTCGACAGACATTGCGACTTAGCTTCGCAGACATTGCCACTTGCAAAACAGCCGATGCATGCCATTGAACTCATCGTGTGGACCCAGGAGGGTGTACCCTCTACGAACCAGATATGGCAGTGGAAAGTATGTAATGTCAGTATAATGCATGATTTGTAAGTACTGGAGCCCTTTTTCCATGCGACAACAACCTATAAATGAGCGCATTTTGGGCCGCCCCTGCCCTCCAGGATCCCTTCGAGGCCTTGAAATTTGAGGCGCCCTTGGAGGAGTTGAAAGCACGGCTGGAGAAGGGCGAACCGGTGCCCTGGCAGGGCCCTAGTCCATGGGATGGTGCCGGGAAGACATTCGTATTGTATAACTGTAACTATATATATACCGTAATCTATCTTATTAGCACTAGAAAATATACTATTAGAATAGTAGATTATAGTCAATTATAGTAGATTGACCTTGTTCATATCACTATTCTTCTTATTCTTCTTCTTCTTCTTCTGGTTATTATTATTACTATTATTATTATTGTTTATTGATAGCAAACATTAACAATTCGTAATGAATTTTGAGCAGTCGCATTATTAGTGGCATGCTTGTATAGCAGCTTCATGATCAGCATGATGGTCACTAGATTTGGTAGAACTGGTATGTTTCTTGATGATGACGATGATGATGATGATGATGATGATGATGACAACGACGAGGAGGAGGAGGAGGACGACGACGACGACGAGGAGGACGACGACGAAGACGATCACGACGACACCTTTCCCCTTGACGATACCCCAGAAGAAGAATGACAATAAAGAAAGCAGTCGCCGAGTCGCCGAGTATTTGGTTGCCAAGTCCCTCCCAGGTGTTCCAGGATTTGATCAAGACCAAGATTTTGGATAATTCCCACAAGGCTGGTGTGACTTGGTGTCTCCAACCCCCCATTAAGAGCCACATGACCCACCGCCAAGCCGGCATGTTGCAGGTGATTTTGGAGAGCAGGCCCAACAAACAGCTGGGAAAGAAGATGGAGGAGGAGGAGCTGAGCTGCCTTGACATCCGCAGACCGGGAGCAACCACACGTAATAATAAGGGTCTTTTATACCAAGATATACCAAGGATTGGACATCCAAAAACAACCAGAAATGGTATGAATTTCGCTGATCGCAAGGAGAAAGCGACGCTGCAGAAGCACCGCGAGACCTTGAGCGAGAAGGACATCGAGGACCTCATTAACGAGACCGTGAAACTGAAGGAGATCCAGGAGAGCGGCAGCTGGGGATTGTTTGGGCAGGTGGCTCCCCAAGAACCTTGCCATGTTGGGATGGAAGGCGTTTCTGCGCAGCTGGTACTTGGATGTTGGACGCTGCGTGGCTCATTAGAAATACACGGGTCCAAGATCCGCAGGACCTGTGGGACTCAGCCCACCGAAGCTGGGATTCGAGACCATTTTCTGCATTTGTATTTGCCCCACCCAGGATTAATATAGCAACAGTTTATGAAGAGGTCTCAATTGTCATAGCAATTCAGAAAACTGTTTTGGTGATGGTTTATTGCTCCGGCTTGGTGGCCCATGGTGGCCCATGGTGGCCAGGAGACCCCGGACACCCCTGAAGCCATGAAGACCGTGCCTGGCCTGGAGCTGTCGGACATCCCCAAGGCACTTCGTTGCATTTTCAACCGAAATGTTAGACTTTCTATCATGATTGGGTCCAGGATGGTCCAAAAACTTTGGTCAACTTTAGTCATTTCTTCAATTGTATGTTCTGTTCGGTCATCTTTGGGCTGCTGCGAGGCCTCAGTTTACGATCACAAAGTATTTTGGGGTATACGCATGGCATTTGGTTTCTTTCCCTTTGTCATGATGTACCCTCAGCTGGTTTCCCCACTGAGTTCTCTGTGGCATATTCCTCAACATTTTCAATTTTTTGTCTCCCAAATAAATTGGCCAGTTCCCCATATTTCAACCAGGTTGCTCATGACCACGGGCTTATAACATGACCACGTTTGAATTCACTGCATGAACATCAAATTCGTGGTAAATCATGTCGTCTTTCGCAGCCGTTGCCGTCCAGGAGACCCCCAAGGTCCCCACGGAGCTCGTCAGCGGGGAGCCCACAGTACTGCGTCATGCGCTGCCCACCAGCGGTGTCATCTACACCGACGTGGCCTTCGATCTCTCGCGCGTTCCAGAGGAGTTGATTCCCCTGGTGCCACTCTTCACCAGGGCGCTGAAGCAGCTGGGGACCGTGTCCTGCCCGGTTTCGGGGGACAAATATGGGGATATGACATGATATGACTGATTCAACTGTCTAGGATTGGGATTTATTGGGGATACAATAGTAGTAAGCGTGTAGTTAATGATGATACTGGTTGGTAGTTTGAAGGGATGACGATCCCCCGCATTGGCTCATGGAATGTTGGGACATGTTGGGAATTTCTACCTGGCACTGGATTTTTCTCCGGTTTGCTCTCCGATTTTTTGATGGGACAATCGCTTATAGCCTCTCACAACCAGACAAGGTTGGATGGAGGGTAATGGGAATGAGACTGGGATTAGGCACCAAAGACTTGAGAGAACCTTCAGAATTTTATTTACAAGTTATTCGGGTGGGTTTTAGTTTCACAGGTTTCTCATCATTGCGATACCACCAGCTGGCCAACTCAGGCAAAGGGTGATTTTGTGAGCCTCACCCGACGAGTTGGCATGAGCACTGGAGGTGGGGTACCCTGATGGGGGGATTGTGTTGTGCACCTGGTAAGATGTCGTGGCACCCCCATGGGACGGCGGTGCGGGTGCAGAGGCATTTCTGCTTCCACCATCTGCATGAACAAGAAGGGAGACAGCGAGCCGGTCGCATACCTCTTCATGCGAGGCTGCAGCTGTTGGGATATGGACATGGATGTTGGAATGCTAGGATGTCCATGCGATGATAAATAAGAAGTGGATAGAAGTGATGGATCTAATGATCTAATCATCAATGAATCATATCTCAGTATTGTTTAATATTGTTGGGTACTGTTGAGATTTCCCCATGTACCAGCTGCTCATACTCATGGTCTCATGGTCCTCACGCGCCTGGATCCAACGCGGTCATCTATAACAAGGGACCATCCACCAAACATGAAGATAGACTATTGACTATCTATTGACTTGTATTTTGATCGCTTTTGATGACTACTTTATTCAAGGTTTGTTTGGGAGGTTTGGGAACCATAAACCATGAACCAGTCATTTTCAGTCCATGCTGGATCCGGCAAGGCAAAGCCATGGCTCCACAAATCTCCGAGCTCAGCGACTTGATGCAGGCGCCGCAACGGCGGTGAGGAACCACACGAGGTCAACGACCCAATGGTTTTTTACGCCTAACAAGCCCAAGACATGCACTGCTGTGTCTTACCAAACATGGCCACACACACGCACATACACATATGTATCAATGTATATATATATAATATTATATATATATATGTGTGTGTGTGTGTGTGCATGTGTATATATATATACATATGTATATATATATTATATCATATATAAATATGTATGACGTGTATATGTATAAATTTTTAAATGGATAGATATATAGCATTCATCCAGTTTCTGAATGAGAAGAGCATCCCAGAATGCGTGGGGACGTGTTTCTGGCACGACTTAGTCTATCAAGATGTCCTTGGCACAGCATCATTGCCATTGCCGAAGCATTGGGTGCGCGCGCGCATGGCGAGGAGATTGCGTTGACCACCGATTTTGACAACAAGGACCGCATTGTACAGCTGGCGAGCCAGGCACGTTCAGGCCAGATGGATTGGGTTTCGGGGGATATGGATGTGTGGACTGTGGACTGCCTGTGAGAACTGGCAGATGACAGCTTCTTGTGGAAATCGTCGGTACAGGGCCGGGCAATGAATCAGTGAAAAACGAAAAATAGACGAACATCGTCCCTTGGGTCTTAATTTTTGACCCATTCCCATATGAATGTGAAATTTCTCTCAGCTTAGATCAGCAGAGAAACATTGGGATGCTGCAGGTGCCCAGTCGTCCTTGGTCTCCTCTGGACACATGGTGGCCAACGCCAGCCTAGCGGCACAAACCACCAAAGCGGGCTGGTTGTCAGGGCAGTTCTCTGGGGTGGAACAGTACAAGCAGCCTGGCTTAGCTTCATGGATGTTGAGGATCTAGCCAAACAAATCTTTAAAATGGGGATGCTATGGGCTATGGCTGTTGAGGGAACCAGTTCAACTGGGTATCCACTCAGTTGGCTGAGATGGCGATGGACAAGGCCACCCTTTGTCCAGCCCCAGCTGGGCGGGACATGTCGCCAGCCTTGCCCCGAAGTTTCCGAGGTTCTTGTCCGAGCTGCTGAAGCGCATCGAAGATGGTGGCTGGGAGGGTGTCTTGCAACAGCTGAAGGCATTGCAAGCGTGTGCCTGGGATAGCAGATCCTTTTGGGGGAGATCTTCCTGACAGGGCATGAAGATGAGGTGGACATTTTGATATTAACTAATGACTAATGCTCCAAACCCAATAGGAGGGAAAACAAATTTGACCAGAAATGAGAGAGAGAGAGGGCAAAAAAACATATTTAATAAACATTTTGAAGTTAACGGGCACATTCCTGTCATGAGAAGAGTTATGACCCATGCCGCGATGCCAATATTTTGTTGGAAACTCCAAAGGGTCCTTTGGCTAAGAAGCCCTTGTCAAGGCTACCAAATTGGTGCGATTTGAGACCCCAACCTGACTTCCTCTCATGATCCCAGCCTTCCCATCATGAATCTTATCCACTCAGACTTTTGCCAAAATGGAATCAGCGAACATCGGTTCAGTTTCTCTTTGGCCCAAGGAATGTTGAATCTTGGATCTGAATCTGAGGCATCTTCAACAAGGCGTCTTGCACCATCCTGAACATCACCTCAGATGCGGAGCATTTGGATCCAGCCCAGGCCTCCCTCGAAAAGTTGGCGTCCAACTTGCCGGTGGATGAGCGGCTTGGACCATATTGCTTTTGAATCATGAGATTTCATGATTTATCGTTGTATTTATCGTTGTATTTACCCATATATCCATATGTATATATATATACACATATAATATCCCATATTTACCTAGAACATATATCATCATATATCTCATTTATCAACTTTATCATTGTTTATTTACCACTATTCACCCATATTTACCACCTTTGTTAAGGAAGTCATATCCTCATGGTACCGAGGTCCAGCGGCCCGGTGCTTTTGGATCCCACCTTGGGGCGCCGTGCGGATGGCATCGTGGTGCCCACACAGGTGCCTACACACACGGATAATATGGTATGATATATATATAGTATATAGCATATATCTATACTATCTATACTATCTATACTATCTATACTATCTATCTATATATGTATATATATATATATATTGTATATATATATATCTAAATAGATATTATATAATATGTATGCAGTAGTCTATACTGCATATACAACTGACTATATTCATCAATATTCCAGATGATCAGACAGTTGCCCAAAATGGGGTTTCACCATTGTCATATCGATTGCGTTACCTATCATTTGGTAATCTTTGAAAATAAGCAATTCAATGGTCTATCGTCCATTTTCGCTCCGCTGGGAAATTTCCTGACATTTTTCTATCACTTACCACATGATATCATTTTCATCAGCCTTTTCCCAAATTTGCCTAAAAAATCGCATCTCCTATTTTCAGAAAAATCAAATAGGCTGCAAAATTCAACCGCATGATTTTCCCACCGGTGAAGGTCCTATAAATATGGAAAAAACTACTACCCTATCCCCCAATCCATTACCCACAAAATGGCACCACCCTCACCCTCCCCCCCGAAAAAAGATTCAACTTTTTGGGTGAAGGGATCAGGATCAAATGGAGACTATACAATACATGGCCGTCCACGTCTATAGAGGTGTGGATTCTCTGATCAACAGGTTCTAAGAAGGCATGGCCATCCATGGCACAGGTGAACTATGTCGGGAAGGGTGGCAACCTCTACGAAAGCGGCTACGAGTATCATGGCTCCGCATTGGTTGTCTCGAAACTTTTGGGTGCCACCTACCTCTGGGACAAGGCACCGATGTTGGACAGGGGAAAAGCCGAACCGTTGGGACCGTTGTGGGATACTCCACTAATGAATCTACCAGGGTTCAATAATGACAAACAAAATCATAGTAACAATAATTGGGTGGGTATAACTTATATAATCCTTCTTTTTGCATCGTTGTGCCCTAAATTCGCTGAGACTCACAACATTCACCAGGCGCCATCTTGTCACCACAGGTGCGTGTGGTGGGAGGCGCCTACGGTGGCTTCTGCCGCTTCGATCCCCGCAGCGGAGACTTCAAGTACCTCTCCTACCGCGATCCCAACCTGGGGCAAACCTTGGAGACCTACGATGGGGCGCCAGGTTTTTTTGGGCCCAGTGGGGGAAGTGGGGGGAATCGACCAGGGGCTTCAACCGGAAAGAATCATGAATGATTCATTCTGAATGATAAGCCAATCCATGATTCTGGATGGGGTTTGTTTCAGGGTCAAAAATGGGTGTTTCTTCACCCGGTTTTTCAAGAGCTCGTTTTTGCAACTGGAAACTCGAACCTTTGTATGAATGAATTGAATTGAATTGAATTCACAGATAGATCAATGACATTTGATGAATGTATATCAAGTACCCTGGGATAGGATGGTGTATCTCTGCAAAACCTTCACTGTTCGCAGGTTTCCTGAAGGATCTTGAACTGGGCGAGGATGAGTTGACAAAGGTCGGGGTTGCTGAACTGTGCTGTCAGCTCAAATCCCAGTAGATTCCAGTCTATCCCACTTCCTTATGTTGATCTTTGGGCCATTTCATGTCTTCTATCCTGCAAACAAACATGTTTCGAAAGTTCTTAGTGACCTTCGAGAAAGATAGATGTATAAGATAGTTTAAGCTGATTTAAGCCCGGCAATCCACCTTGAGATTCGCAGATGTGCCATGGTCATCCATGGTCCATTGGGTTTTTTCGGTCACCCGGCCTCGACTCGAGGCCGTGATCGGTTGCATGGGCGACGTGGACGCCTACCTGCTGCCCGATGCCAAGGGCTACCAGGCCATGCTGCGGCACCTCTTGGGCGAAGACGATGAGTACAGACAGAAGGTTCGGGATCAGTACCTTGGACCGGTCATGGTCAAACCGTCAAACCAACATGGGGCATATGAGAATTAGAGGAATTTGAGGGTGGATTTTGGAAAGGGAATTGAAATTGCCAATGATAGTTGGAGATTGTTAAATGATGGTATTTCGGGCATATTGGGGTGGCTGAAAATGATCAATTCCCACCAACAATGGATGGTTTGATGCTATAGAAATTGACCAAGATGCGCGAATGGGTCCTTCAATTTTGTCCCATACCGTTTTTTAAAATCACTTTCCGCTCTTGATTGCACAACAATTGTGGTAAACCCATGTAAACCCTCTAAAAGGCTCTAAAAGGTGCCGTTTATGCAGGGGATTTCCCAGATTTTTCCGGAGGGGCACCTCGATGGCACCTGAGGATTCTTGGCACCAAGGTGGAGGACAGCTGGGATGGCGATGGCGAAAAGGGCTGGAAAAAAAAACGGGAAAATTGTCTAGCTGGGGATGGGCATACCCCAGTTTACAGTTGTCTATATATATATGTAATGATTATAATGTATATAACTGTATATGTAGATGATCTATATAATTACAATCTAAAAGGTATGGTTTCATATTCTTAACAGAAGTTGTGGCGGATACTTGGGGCAATGGAGGCAGACATGAGGCAGTGGCAAAGTCAGCGGCGAAACGTGGGCAATCAATGTGGCAACCACCCATGTGTGGCAAATCACATGGCGGTTTTCGGAGCAGCATCAGTGGGTGTAAGATTGTCTGGGGCGAAAGCTGTTGCCAAAGTTGTGGCACAATAGGTGTCTGATGGCAGAACAGGTGGCTGCTGGCATTTGCATATATGAATCTAATGATATTATAATATATATATATACATGTATATTCAAGAGCTATATTCGAAGCAACAATGTTTGGATACAACCACATCTGTAAGCTCTTTCGCCCATATCTGAAGTGGATGGATTTATTCCTGCTCATTTGCAGGAATCCCCACCATGTTGTGCAGCAAATCCACGGTTTTTCCTATAGATTTTTATCCTTAAACCAATCCATTGAGATATGTTGATTTTTTCAGGAAAACTTACAAGAAACCTCTGCATTCCACTGGAAAATCCATGGGTTGCCATGTGTTTCCCATAGATTCGCCATAGATGTTCCTTTGAGATTTGGGAATCTCCAACCATCGCCATGTCGCCATGCCAGGACTTCCACAAGTTCGGCGAGGCCCTGGAGCCGGTGATCGAGAAGGGCGGCATCTGTGTGGTGGGCTCCGCTGAATCTTGTGACAAGGCGAAGGAGAAGTATGGCCTGTCGCTTACCAGCCCTTTTGCAGAGGACGTGGGCGACTGGGATGACTGGGATGATGGTGGATTTTTTGGACGTCTAACTTTGTTTTGCATGCTCGAAACATACGGAATTTAGTACCACCTGAGTCCAAAATAATGGTAGAATCGACAAATTCGATGTTTTTGCGTGGTTAAGTCATCGCAATTTATGGCATTGGTTCAATTGAACATGAGGTTTCAATGATCCCACAATCAGCAAACGGTCATCAAAGCAGAAACACGGAGGAGTGAAGTGGTTCCAGTATCGCCTTGTGGCACGCCTGGTAGTTGGTGATGATGCCTTGCCAACCGGGCAGTTGAGTGGTAATAGGCCACACTTTCCCGAGACTTGAGCTGGTTGGTGATTTCGCACGTAGAACTTGGATGATGATGATCCCCACCAACTGGTCATTTGGGGGTTGAAACCACCAACCCGCTTGGTACAGTGGCATAGCTTTTACATCTTTCGGCACATCGTCTGCCCCACCGCAATTTCCATACCATATTTCACCCGCGGTTCGAAAAACCTGCACTGAGCGCAGCTTTCCCTGCTTGTCAGGGAAATGGTTAGAGCATGTTAGAGAGTGAAATTCTGTTGGAGAAGTGTTTCTGGTGTTTCTTTTATGTCGATCACCTGCTGATCACTGGCTCAGTCTAAGGGTCAACTTTACAGGGGACTTGATGGATCAGGCTCCAAATGTGGCCATGGCAGGGTGAACCAATAGTTCTCCCCATTTCTGCGCATCGCGTCGCTGCCCGAGGCTTTACTACGCGCGGAATCCGCGGAAAGCCCTGGAACTCGCGTCCGAAGCCACACAGGCGGCCGACTTCAAGGAGCAGAGTGATCAGAGTGGTGGGAGATCGCCACGGAACTGTCACTGCTTGTTTTTTCTGTCAAATTATGAGTCACTGCTTGGTCAATGAATGATTCAATCGGGGTTCCCTCCAAAGTCTGGGATGTGGATGAGAAGATCATATTTGCTGCCAGTTGGCAGTGGGCATTTTCCACCTTGTGACCTGCAGAGGATTGGTGGTGGAAAGCGCGGTTGGGCAAGGCCTATTATCAGCTAGGTACCTTGGCAGCGCATGCCATGCCACAACATGCCACAAGTTGCTACAACTTGATCCATCAAGGCCCGTCAGCCTACCTGACACCCACAGAGACACTGGATTTGTACTAGATCTGCTCATTTTTGGGAGGGTATAGAAAGGGTTTGTAACTGCGCATGCAAGCGCGTATCATTGGTAGAGATTCCCATGGCTTGATTTATCGCTAAGTTCGACCGGATGGCTACTTTGTTGAGTCCCAGTGCAGGGCAACGAGTTTGTGAATCCCAGGTCTCTTGCGCGACGCGGAGAAACAGTTTAAGAGTGCGCTCAAGGATGAGGAGACTGCTGGAACATGTTGTAAATAGGCATCCTTAGAACAGGCTCCAGGGGAACAATCTTTACTTCTCTTTATATAAATCCCTAGTTCTCCTCGTAATCAATCATTGCAATGGAAGATCTCCCATTTTTAATCATTTATTTCGAAACCTCCGTTTAGTTCGGGGCATTGCTCAGCTTATGTTTGATGACCAGTATATGATCCCAGATTCCCCAGTTGAATATCCGTATAAAAAGTCCCATTACCCTGCAGTAAACTAACATAGCAATGGAAAATGGACCATTTATAGATGATTTACCTATAGAAATAGTGATAAAATGATATAAATATCGATTTTCCATAGCTTTTTGTAGGTTTACCATGGTTTACCAGAGGGTAAAACATGATTTTTACGAAGGGCTGGCAGACTGGAAAGGAGACCATCTCTACCCACCTGGAGCTCTGTAAAGTGTACCTGCGTGGCTCGACCGGCAATGAAGGATACCTATGTTGATTCAAAATAGATCAATAGATCAACAATAGATCAACAATAGATCAACATAATATCAACTAATAGAATTTCAGGATCCTTAGGATGAAGATTCATGCTTTGATTCATGTTTTTGCTCAAAAAATGATGTCCAATCTGTTCTGAAGGTGTAATTTACATGCTAGAACTCATACGATGCTTGCTCGGTGCCAGCAAGATGCTGTGAAAATGGGATGGTTGCAGTTTGGTTAGATGCCACATGTTTGTAGAAATATTCCCATGTGGTGCTAGTGCTGGTGACAAGAATCTCCATTTTTCTTGGTGATCGCTGGCAATTTGCCCGGTTTTTCAATCGGTTCCTTCAGCGGGCCGGTCTCGAGTATCGATGCAAGACCTGAACAACGGCCTCCCCAATTTACCATCCCGTAATTAAACACAGTAGTCTATATTTAAATGGATACTTAAATGGGAAAATCATCTATACATGGGGGAGTTTCCATTGCCATGTTTGATTTATACCAAAAGCTACTGAAGATCCTTATGCAAGGGGAAAAATAGATCCTCCATGATCCTCCTATTTTTTCCTTGAGATTTAATTAGTGTGAATCATCCAGATTCATGGCATGTGCTGCCTTCGTCACCAGTCATCAGGTCTAGACCAGCCGAACTCAGCGTTGGACCAATACGGTCGGGCCGCTGAGAAATTTGCTGGAGAGACGCCCCTTGGAGAAAATCATGGACCATCCATGGGTAAATCTCGATGTGATGTATTGGTTTAAGGCAAAGTTCAAAGGAACCCAGATTTTACTCCATTGAAAATTGTTTTTCAAATGATTTTCCTTTGCCTGCAAACCAATCCAATGATTCATGTTTTTTTCGCCTTCAGAAATAGAGCTTTCAAAGGCAACATGTCTGCGTTTCGAATCATTTTTTCCTTGTTGAAGTTGATGGTTGCACATGGTTGCAGACTTACCCCCGGAACAATCTCCAGCCACTACGGTCCTTTGGCCCCCAGCCACACAGGCACATTCTCATTGGCCTAGCTCGAACCTACGACATGCTGAACTCGTTGCTGCGGGGCGTTAGCTTCTACAAGACCCTTGGCCGGGGACGGGTCTGTGGAAGCAGGGTACAACACGATGGAGAAGCTGAATGGGAATGGCTATCAAGTTCTATGAAGGATTATGAAGGGCTCTTCAAAGTGAAATCTTGTTGGCGCATCACGGCTCTGACAGGAGTCCCCCCATGCGCTTGTCTTGACTTTCCATCATTTTCCATCTCATCCAGGAAAGTGCTTCAGTTTGATGCCGTGAATTCAGAGGTGCGGCAGATGATTCCGGGTCCAGCACAGGGTAGCCTCGAAGAAGTATCGGGAAAACACGTGTCGAGGACATCACGTTCTCGCAAATCTCACGGAATACCCAAACTTCACATTTTCCACCGTTCCTGCTTTCCCCGTCTTCCAACAAACTCCGTGAGTCACTTGGTGCCGTCGATTGGGACGGGACCGGAGGCCATTGCCTGCTTAGCATCGCACCATTTCTACACCGACCAGCCAGAGTTGGCTCTGCGCTTCTATCGTCGAATGCTGCAGAATGGGGTGGTCAGTGCTGCTGCCTGGCTGAGATCGGCGCGCCAGTTTTTGATCCCATTGGGGCTCCTCTGCATAGATACTGAACATTCAACAAATTATGGATATTGGATGATATTGGAACACTATTGTTTAGCAATATTTAGCATATAGGACATCGATAAATATTATATATATAATATATATCGATTACTACAGTGGGTAGCATTGTCAATAGATCAGGTGAGGGATCATTGATATTCCTTCTTTCTGTTTTTCTCACATATTTTTCTCTCAGGAGCTCTGGAACAACATGGGTCTTTGCTGCTTCTATGCGGGGCAGTATGACCTCACGCTGAGCTGCTTCGAGAGAGCGCTCATGCTGGCGGATGATGACAACATGGCGGATGTTTGGTGCCTGGGCTGGGCCCTGCATGTAACCCTGAATCTACATCTATCTATCATTCTCCCCAATTTATCAAATTTTCACATAGACCATCATAGACCCCCAGGAATGGCTCATGGATTTAGATGAAGCTAGTCTTCCAGCCCAATAAATGGCACCTGAGCCCAGGTACAATATTGGGCAGGTGGCTATTGGCGTGACTTGGCCAACGAGTAAGTCAAGAGAGACATAATATGAATAAGAAGAGAAGACCATAAATCATCATAAACCAATGGCTGCATTAATATGTATACTTGTGCACGCGGGATGGATATGGATGGATCTCATTGGCCACTTTTCACATACGCTTACTGCTGTTTGAAACATCCACTGGCTTCACCCATATGGAACGAATACTGAGAGAGGCGCCTTTTAGCTGTGAATTCTTTCAACAGAACTATATTGTTATTGAGATGTCCCGCCTACAGGGAACATGGATGGGAGAAATGAAGCAGCTTGTTGATACCCTTGGCTGCTGACACTCCTGTCCACCTGGTGGCGCGGTTGTTTTCACTCGCCCTTAGCTTAGCTGAACTCTTTGAGAAGGCGATGGAGAGAGAGAGAGAGATTAATATGTACATACACATGTGCACACATATACACACATTATCATATTAATATATATATATATATGTATTTATATATATATATATCTATATGTATGCACTATAGCGTTATAATCACCAACACCGCAGCGAGCACGTCCGAGGTGGGAGACTTGGGCTTGGCGTATCAGGCTTTCAAGATCGCCATCTCGGTGGATCCGAACCATGCGGAGAGCTACAACAACATCGGCGTGCTGGAGCTGCGCAAGGAGCCAAAGTGGAGCAGAGTTGGGATGGCAATGGATGGCATCTAATGTCTGGGAAACCCAATTTAATAACACACACACATATATATATATATATTTATAATAGTGAAATAGTAATAACAATATAATAATAATAGTAATAATAGTAAAACACCTACCATTGGTTTATAGCATCCAAACAAAATTGGTGATTTCGGTGATGGTTTCTTATTGGCTTTACTGCATTACATGGATAGATGGTCCGCTGGAAAGCGAGTTGACACTGGATTTTGTACAGCAAAAGAGGCACTGGCTTTCAACCAGAATGATCCGCGGCTACATACAAATTGTATCAAATTGTAATGCAAGTGCGGGGCCTTCTAGATAGAAAACAGTTTGTTTAAAACTATAGTTAACTAGGTTAACTATGGTTGAGACTAGGTATAACTATAACTATACTTAGCAACATTTTTCAGGGCTCCCGGCCTTGACTTGATGAGATTCCATGAATCTATCCACCAGCCGTCAGGGCAACGTGGAGCAGGCGCAAGCGCACTTCGGGCAGGCCATGCGATTGGCACCGCACCTCTTTGAACCGGCCTTCAACGGAGGGCTGCTGGCAGCTGGGTCAGTTTAGCTGGAGATTTTGGGTGGTAGGAACTGGAGATACCATATGAATCGGATATGACACCATCAAAAAACATGGCAGGAGGTCAAATTTTTTGGAGTTGAACCTTGGAACTGCAAGTTTTTGCGACATTTTGAACCAATAGTATGTATTTTTAAGCATCCAATTTGTGGTACCCAATTCTGAGCCTGCCCTTATAAGATATTGCAGATACGCATAGGGAAACTCAAGATTTTGTGCGAACCCCTTGTGAACTATTGGCGCATCCCGGTGGGAACCACCGCTGAGGATGCCCAGGAGGTAACTAATTGATGGGACAAATTGCCCAGATGGTTTTCCAACAGTGGGGATGCGATTGCGGCATCCAGGAATGCCCAGTGAACTAGTTACCCTCTGGTAATTTAACATAGCTATTGAAAATGGCCATTTATAGTGAGTTTTCCTATTAAAAATGGTGATTTTCCATAGTTTTTTGTATGTTTACCAGAGGGTAACCAATTTGAGGCCTTCAAGCTGGGAGAGTTCCAGGACAGCTTCGAATTGGCCAACAAAGCCCTCGAGGCCACCTTTGATAAGCTCCTAGTAGGGGTTGATGCTGGTTTTCTTGCACCCAAAAAGATGATGATTTTTTGCAAAAGCTGCACCCCTCCACATGGCATTTTTTGCTGGCGGGGCAATTTTTTGGGGGCACCCTTAGATTTCCATGAAGTCAGAAGAGGTTTCCAGGTGTCGACTGGATGGTCGAGGATTTTCACCATAGCACTGCCAGGCCTGAAAACATGTGACATGGGCTGCTAGAGGAGTATCTCTCGCCGTGCGAGGCCCTAAGGCCCTACGATTCATAGCCAACCTGCCCTGGATTTGGTTCGGAAGCACCTCACTTCCCCAGTGCTGCTCTCCACAGCAGGCTTATCCGGAGCACATTGAGAGCAAGGAGCTGATCAAACAACTGAAAGCGCATTTCTCTTCATTGTAGCAGATAGTAGCAGGGGCTCAGGTTTGACACCGGCGACATTGGCAGGATAGAACTCATGGCCTCTAGCAGTGTGTCTTGGGTTTCACTAGGTCAACAGGGTAGTCAATGCTAGCCAGCCCCAAAGTGCACCATTGAACATAGAAGTTGCCACTGTATGTAATGGTGCCTATAACTTAATATGATACTTATACATACATGCATATACATACCTGCACATGCAATATAAATAGGTGTATTGCTAACCAGTAAGACTTCGCAAGGAGTTCTTAGTTCTCAGGATGGGCCCCAGCAGTATGTGAAGGATCCTGTTGTGCTTTCAGCCATCGTTGTCAAAGCCCGATGGATTGATTAGGATGATTTGGGGGTCAACATGGGCCAGAACATGGGTCAACCCCAAAAGTGATTCATTGCTCTCCAAATGGTGACCTCAGTGACCTCTCACATTGATAGACCAGGCGTTTTTGTTGATCCTGGATGGACTAGTGCCACCTGTGCCTCAGCAGGGCGGCCACCATGCGGCTGGGTCCCATGCGCTGGGAGTGTCGAGGCTTTAAGACATGGAAAGCGATGTTTAGGCTAGTCCCATTCTTGAACAAGCCATGTTGAAACCAAAATGAGTTGAAAGATGTTGCCATTGCTCCGGTCCTAACGCACATTGACGCATGCTGACACCTGGTACATATTTTGGAGCCCTGAAAACATTGCAAAGACCGTTGCAACGACTGTTGATTAGAGTGCTTTCTTTTTCCTGGGTCCTCTAATATGGTGATGGATTTGTATGGATTTGTTATCTCATGTTGCAACTCTGGGCGTGGGTTGAGCCAGCTCATGGGTTCACCGGCCACACAGTGACCTCAGAGCGTCCCTTGATTCGCTTCACAAGCCCTATCGCCGGGTCTGAGTAGAACCCAAGTCGAAACAATTCCATTTAGCTTGCCCTGAAGTCTAAGCAAACGAGATGACGTGGCCTGACACGAGTGGGATTCAAAGTATTTGTTGAAGTACTTTCTGGAGAAACAGTGCCTGTGAAAGCCAACATTATTTTTCTGGTTGGTGGTGCCAAAATGTTTCAAACAGTTCGTGATATCTTATGTATTCATGAATTTTCCACCCTAGCAGGGAAACTGATCCCACTAGAACTAGTAATTATTTATATATGTATTTATGGGATAGGTTGAGCCACCAACGAGTATCCCAACATGTTGTCGAATCTCATATTTCTGTTCTACATGCAGTGGATTCCAGTAGATTCCAGACCCGGTGCCATGGACAAAATACATGGCCAAAGCATGCATGTGACCTCGCAAGCCTCCGGTGCATTGCAGCGCTGGTGGGAAAAACGGCACGGCCTGAGTCTGGGACCTGAGAGGGGACACTGTAACTTCCTCAGGCTACGAATGTTTTTGGTTTCAATGGGGACAGCATCCTGTAAACAATGGGAAAATATGGGAAAATCTGGGGGAGTTCTCAGCATAATTTTGAGCTCCAGACATGAAACATTAGGATCAGATCTTGCCAGAATTCGCCAAGTGGTTTGTAACTCGGGGAAAAAATCAATACATCCCAGTTATATCCAGTTATATCCAGTTGGAATAGGTGGGTTATGGTGGGTTATAGCCAACCCACCCAGCCATCTCATCTTAGCTGTTCCCAGCTGCACCGTGCAGGCCCTGCGACCTCATGACCTGGTCAGGCGATGCCCCAAGGCGTTGCTGTTGTTGCCCAGAATGTCGCCTGCTTGCTGTTTGTTGTTTCTTGTTTGTTGTTTGTTGTTTGTTGTTGGTTGTTGGTTGTTTGTTGTTTGTTGTTTGTTGTTTGTTGTTTGTTGTTTGTTGTTTGTTGTTTGTTGTTTGTTGTTTGTTGTTGTTGTTGGTTGTTGGTTGTTGTTGTTGTTGTTGTTGTTTGTTGTTTGTTGTTGTTTGTTGTTTGTTGTTTGTTGTTTGTTGTGTTGTTGTTGTTTGTTGTTGTTGTTGTTTGTTGTTGGTTGTTGGTTGTTTGTTGTTGGTTGTTTGTTGTTGGCCCCAGTCGTACGTCACGACGCGTTTTATGCTTTGCTTTTCTGCTTGGCAGTGCGCGTTTATGTGCCTCCACACCTGTCACGCGGATCGACGTTGGGTGGGGTTTTGGGTGGGTGGTGGGTTCGGGGGGTTGGGGGGGGGGGTGGTGGGGGGGCTTAATAGCGTTCTGTCGCCTTCTTCCTGTTGCATCTTCGTTTCGACACGCTCCCGATGTTACGCTCTATAGATCTTCTCTTGTAATCCTCGACACGCTCATGATGCTACGCTCTATAGATCTTCTCTTGCAATCCTCGACACGCTCCCGATGTTACGCTCTATAGATCTTCTCTTGCAATCCTCGACACGCTCATGATGCTACGCTCTATAGATCTTCTCTTGCAATCCTCGACACGCTCCCGATGTTACGCTCTATAGATCTTCTCTTGCAATCCTCGACACGCTCCCGATGCTACGCTCTATAGATCTTCTCTTGCAATCCTCGACACGCTCATGATGCTACGCTCTATAGATCTTCTCTTGCAATCCTCGACACGCTCCCGATGTTACGTCCAGAACAAAGTGAAACTTGCCTTGGGACATGAACCCAAAGACTTCCTGGTCTTGGACAAAAACAGCTCTTGGCTGTTCGAATGAGTTCGCTCGCCAGGACAAAAAAGAAGCGTCCGTGTCAGCTTCTTTGAGCTGTGGATTCTTCGAATGCTCTCAAATGCCGTATTCAGCTGAAAACACATTCAAACACACACACACACACAACTCATTGTTTATGAAACTAGAATCAACCATACCATACATCAAAAAAGGTGCACCTCGCTGTAACGAAAACACGAAAAAGACTAAAAACCTTCATTTCGCTGTAGCCCCGTGCAACATGATGTAACTGCTATGTGAAGAATCCAAGTCAAAAAAAAGTAAATTATGTGGGTAAAAAATGCCATTTCACTGTAGCGAAACTACCACCAACATTTAAAAAAATGCATTTCGCTGTAGCCCCGTGCGACATGCGCGAAACTGTGGTGCCATGGAAATTTCGCTCAAAATTTAAAAAAACAAACATGAAATGACATGACACAAGCAGATGAAAAAAACACAAAAACACCGCCAAAACCATAGAAAATAGAACATGACGTCACTTGGCAGCATTTCAGGCGCGTCTTGACGCACCACTGGACCGTTGTTGTTTGTTGTTTGTTGTTGGTTGTTGGTTGTTTGTTGTTTGTTGTTTGTTGTTTGTTGTTTGTTGTTTGTTGTTTGTTGTTTGTTGTTTGTTGTTTGTTGTTGGTTGTTGGTTGTTTGTTGTTTGTTGTTGGTTGTTTGTTGTTTGTTGTTTGTTGTTTGTTGTTTGTTGTTTGTTGTTGGTTGTTGGTTGTTTGTTGTTTGTTGTTTGTTGTTTGTTGTTTGTTGTTGGTTGTTGGTTGTTGGTTGTTGGTTGTTTGTTGTTTGTTGTTTGTTGTTTGTTGTTTGTTGTTGGTTGTTTGTTGTGTGTTGTTTGTTGTGTGTTGTTTGTTGTTGGTTGTTTGTTGTTTTTTTTTTGTTGTTTGTTGTTTGTTGTTGGTTGTTTGTTGTTTGTTGTTTGTTGTTGGTTGTTGGTTTTTTGTTGTTGGTTGTTTGTTGTTTGTTGTTTGTTGTTTGTTGTTTGTTGTTTGTTGTTTGTTGTTGGTTGTTTGTTGTTGGTTGTTTGTTGTTGGTTGTTTGTTGTTTGTTGTTTGTTGTTTGTTGTTTGTTGTTTGTTGTTTGTTGTTTGTTGTTGGTTGTTGGTTGTTTGTTGTTGGTTGTTGGTTGTTTGTTGGTTGTCCTGGATGATGTAGAACGCCGTCCCAAACTCATGAAGCTTCTCCAAGACATTCTTGCACCACTTTTCTCCAGCAACGGTTCGGGCACAACATGTGTCCGAGAGCGCCATCAGAGCACTAGCTTTTCGCAACTTCTCTGAACTTGACATCAAAATCACATGACTCAAAAAGGCTGCATCCGAATCATCACTCAAAGTGTCCTCATCATCTTTCTCCTGAGTGACCACAAAGACGCTCTTGGTTCCAGACTGTTTGCTCCCACCCTTGCCATCGCTTTTGCCATAGTATGGACAAGCAGGGTCAGAGTGCCAATGTCCGTACACCAATTTTCCGTTTGCACGACATGCGGCGCATGCCATCCTTTGCTTCATGCTTTCTATCCGTTTCTCCCGCGCCTGGGGCGACTCGGATCTATGGAATCCTCTATTCTTGGAATGTTCAGCTCGACGACGGGCTGCAGCTGTGAGCAAAACTTCCGCTTCAAGCTCAAGATCGTCAGCTCCACAATCTCCATCATAGTCACCATCAGACATCTTACTATCTGCTTCATCTCTACCGTCATCTTCTCCCTCAACCACGGCATGCACTTTGTGAGAAGACCTTGGGCCGGGACTCCTGCCTCTCCTGAAGTCTCCATGATGTCCTCGTCGGTCTTCACCACTCCCATGGTCAGCTACGCCAACATGTGGCACAATGGCCACCAGGGCAGACCGCAGTTTAGCATAGTCGTAGATGCCTCCGGCCGTCGACACCACCTGGCGCCTCAAATCTTCTGAGAGCCCTGCCTTCCGCAGGAACCAAAATGCCTTGGCTCGCCCTTCCAAAGGGCTTTGGGCCTCAGCAAGTCGTTGGCACTGCGTCCTGAAGGCCGTGTCATACTGAGTCATCTCCTGTCCTCGTGACCTCTGGAAGGTGTCGTACAAGTACGACAAAGTGTGGAAAACTCTCAGATACTCGAGGCTCAAGCTCGTCCCACAAGTGTCTCAAGAGAATCTCAACGCCTTGCTCGCATTTGATCTTGCTCACTTCCAAAGTTTCAGCTGCTCTCCATGCACGACCACTCAACCTCTCCAACAATCGGCCTGCTTGGAATTCGGGACATGTTGGTAGTTGCTTGGAAGATTCTCACCCTTCTCTCATACTCTCTCATCGTCAGCTCACCATCATGCTCCGGCACCTTCTCCTTGCCGGCATGCTTCTTCTCAAAACTTTCCTTCTGAGTCACGGCACTTCCTGACTGCTCCCCTGAAGCACTTTCTCCTCGGGAATCACTTTCACTCTTGCTGTCTTCCTTCTCTCCATTACCATGTTTCTTGCCAACTGCACTTTCAGCATGACCATGCCACCAGGCGCAAAATGCGCTGTCTAGCTGAATCCATCCTCTAGCCACTCCGTACTGCACCGCCTGGTCTAAGCTTTCTCCCCAAAACCATCCTTGCGGTGTTTCATACCATCCACTCACACCGCCTTGGGCAGAGTTAGACCACCATGAACTTCTCCTAGTCCATGAGCCCCAAGTGGAATCATCGCCATGGGAGCGACCATTCCATGACCCATCATGACCCCATGATCCATTCCATGAAGCCGCATCACCTTCATGTTGCTGAGAGCCTCCACCATGCCTATTCTGCTCGGCATCTGCAGACTGGCCAGTTTCATCACTCTCAGCACCGAAATGCCTAAAGCTTTTGCCACTACCCTCATTCTGTGCTACTTGCCCATTTGGATAAAAACTCATCGAACTCATGATTCAAAGCTAGCCCCAAAGGTTCTCCTGGATCAAATAGCTCCGCGCCACCAATGTGAAGCGCTGCTCAAAATGCCGCCTCAAAATGCTGCCATCAAAAGCAAATCCGCTAGCCTTTTCCTCATATCCCAGGGCCCGTAGCTGCGGGATTGATCATCTGAAATTTGCGAATTGCACATGGCCAAAGTGACTCAGCTAAATCTTCTGCAAACTTTCACAGTATGTATGTATATATATAATGTTTCGATTGTAATTATTGCAGATGCTTGCAAATTCTCTACTGACTCTACTGAAATTCCTTTCAGCCAGGCTTACCATAGTCGTCGAGACCAACAGGCCAGGGAACGTTTCTTGTGTTCGGTGCTTGTTGCTGTCAAATGAGTCTGAAGTTGGTTAAGTTGGTCAAAAGTTGGTCAAAAGTTGGTCAAAAGTTGGTCAAATTGGTTAAGTGTTCTGAAGTTCGTTCCATCATTCTTTTTGATCAATTTAGGTCAAACTGTCTGGACTTGGACTCGGTGCAGTCTACGAGACTCTCATCGTGGATTTCGGGGTGCCATTGGCGTTGTGTTCAAACAACTTTTGTTTCGGACATGCCATGAGATTCATGAGATTTATGGCTTTCAACTAAGACTTAAAATCTCAGTCGAGTAAGTAAGTACTGTCAAACATCATAGCCTGAAAGTCTTTGCCCACAGTGCTGTATTGAAACAAGTGACAGCACAAGATCAATGGCCCAGCACAGGGTCCCGGAGAGCTCCCAATACAGAGGAGAGTGGGTGGTGGCAAGTGAGCTTCTCAGCCAGCAAAAGCCGAGACGATGACAGAGGGTTTTTGGAGGTTTGTGCTGGGCCTCGTTAGCCCCGTTTTGTGTTCTGCAAAAGGCGAGATGTGCGGAGATTTGAATTGGCACCTGGCGACCCTCCACAGGCACTGTGGTTTCAGATTTGAACTGAGAGACTGGCTGAGAGACTGGCTGAGAATGTGGGGGTGGTGTGGTGCGTGATGTGACAGATTCGTGTTCATGTTGTCCGTGACCGTGGCTGGCGGATAGCTGATGTTGTGGTACCTGGTGTCACCCAGGAGCTAGTTGAAGAGTTGAAATAAAGACTTCGAACATACTGCATGAAATCATGCCGAAATCATGGCAAAGACACAAGGAAAAATTCAGATCCATTTCTGTTGCCTGAGCCTTGCCCTGCAGGAGAGAATCGTTTCCTTGGATTCCAGTTCTGGGCCCGCTCCAGCACCGCCTCCACTGCTACCTCCGCCTCCTGAATTCTTGAGCTGGGGCCCCACGCAGTCCATAGCAAAAGAATGTAAAGGATGGGAGAGATCAATATGATCACTGCCCAGGTACATATCGCAAGCCCACTCCGGAGGAACTCGAGGAGCGCCAAAAGTATTCAGTATCAACACTGAATCAACACCTCACTGTTTGGTACAAAGTTTCAAGGAGAGAGCTGCTGCTATTGTGCAAAATGATAGGGAAGAACTTGTTGGGCCTGGAGCTCATGTTGTTTGTCAGTGTTTCTCTGCATACAATTGTGTGGTATGTTTTCATATGCTTTCAATGATTTGGAGATATTTGGAGCATGGTTCCCGGACCCAAATGTGAGCAGGCTATGGGAGTGGTGTCGAGATGCTGAAACTCAACATCCAGGCTCTGCATCGGGTAGGAGTTTAATGATATTCAATGGGCATATCCCGTTTTTGGGCCCCAAACAATTTCTTACCTTTTCTTTTGTGTCACTATGCCAGGCAGCCTGGGTCCAGAAAAGTGGGCCGCGTGAGCCTGGAAAAAGGTTGCAGCGTTGCGGAGTGCCAGAAAGTCTGCATACATTCGAAGGTACAGTGCTGACCATAACCACGAGATAGAAACAGCTTTCAGAAGTGGTGTCCGGGCGCTCAGCTTTTCGAATGTACTAGGGATTTACAAATGAATGTTGTGAGTGTCTGTTTTTCTGACCCAAGGAGTTGCAAGCAGACATTGTGATCGGAATTCGCAGCTACGAAGTGCTTTTCGAAGGATCGACTATGCACGGAAAGCAGGCAGACTTGCATTTCAAAGCTGCAGAACTCCATTTCTTGATGATTGCATGATGCTTTCCATACTGTCAGATCTAACCATGGACCACAGTGTCTACGGATCCTTTAGATGGCATCAGCTGGAACTTCGATGAACTTCGTGTCAGGTAGACAAGAAACATAAAAAACGACGGTTTGTTCGGCGAAGAGCTGTTCCTGTCGAAGAGAAGGAAGCCTGGAGCTCGGAACTTCTGAATCTGCAGAGCCACTGAAGTGAACAAGAGGTGTCTAGAGTCTAGACAGAGGTGCTCATTGGAGGACAGAAAGGAAACATCTTAACTCTTAAATGATTATGTATGATACATGTTGCATGGATCATATACATTACAGCATACCATCATATTTGTTGCCCCCTTGACCCATATTGCATGTACGATATTATTTTTGTATTTGGGGTATGCGTTGCATTTACTGCATTATTACATGCATAGTAATTGCATTCAATACTTGTATGACATGTGTCACACATTGTATGTACTGTACCATGCTACTGCAGTACATGTAAATATATAATATGTATGATCCGTACAATATATTCAACGTGCATCTTGTTTTGACATGTATGCACATCATTTCCAAACAGCATGACAGTGGAGCAGTGGAGCATGGGAGGAAGGCACTGTGGATCTCTCTCAGGCGGCCCTACAAAGTGGGGAAGCTGCTGTGGCGACAGCTGTTGCTCAGGACACTGTCCTTCTAGGAAGACCCAAATGATTTTGCTTCGCAAAAACACCCAAAAGACTCAGCCAAGCAATATGGCATGCAAGTCATCAGCTCGGGACAAAGGATGGTAGGGTTCAAGTTGATCTAGTCAGAGTGTGGATGTGTACTGCTGCCTAGCAGGATCCTTCTCTAGCTGAAAAAGAATGTGTCATTTGCGCGGAATCGTTCGCAGATACGCTGGCGTCTTGGTGGTGTGAGACAGACACATCGCATCACTACAATCACTGCTGTACCGGCATTGCAGGACTTGAGCCTTTTGTTGAATGGAAACCCTGAAAATCCTTCCAAACTTGAGGTATGCCATGCCGGTGGTTCGACTGCGAGAATGCGGACACATATTTCATGGAGCCTGTGCCAAGAACTGAAGCGCACGACAGTCAGACTCGCTAGACTCGCTAGACTCGCTAGACTCGCTAGACTCGCTAGACTCGCTACTCCTATAATAAGTCAAAGAACCTGAAACAAGCCGTGAAATCCAAAGAGTTACGACAAGTTACGACAGTCCCAAGATTTCAGGTCCAGGGAATCACACCCATTTGTTCGTTGCTCGGTGATTCATCGTTACTGGGATTTCTTCTTTGGCTGAGGTTCAAGACCTGGCCGACCGGAAAAAAACTTGCCCTTTTTGTCGTGCTGAGGTGCTGCCAGCTGCTGACATGTTGACATTTTTTGTTCATGGTTTTATTTCGCACGCATCGACAGTGCTCTCTTGCGTCAAATTGGTGGGTTAAATTGAACTAAGGCGCTAAGGTTCTTCGTCTTGTTTTGGCTTTCTTGGCTTTCTTGGGGATCAATGGATGCATCTCCAGGTGAATTGGCGCAACGTCGAAGAAGTTCTGATGTTTGCTGGAGATTCCAACATTCAGGTGGGATCAGGGTTGGATCAAGGTGGCACCCACACTGCAAACAAAAGCATCCCGGTGGTATAGACAGTTATTTGTGTGAATGTAATGCAGGCCAGGTTAGCCCTAAGCATGTATATGTACAGATCGGTAATGTCAGCCAGCAGCAAGGGTGCAGCATTTTCCGCCCACTGCTTGGCTCAAGGAACCGATCGCCGCTCAAGGAAAATGGAATTTGCTGCAGCGGGCAATTGAGCTTTTGCGGAACCTTGCAAACTACAGGTCTACTACGCAAGGTCACACAGTGCTAACACACCTGCGCCCATTCTCAGGTTATCAGCCGTACGCTCTACCCTGGGGCGTACGGTGGTCCTGCGAACAATTGCTCTCTTCATTGACTTCGGCATCTCGCACTCCTTGCCCTACTACCCGTCGATTGCACTGGTGTAAACGGAAGAGGTGCAAAGCACAGCAACCGAAGCAATGTCGCAGAAAAACACTAGCAGCAACGAAACCCATAGGTCCTTCACAGCCCCGGCACTTCCAGCGGACACGCCGGGATCAGGACATAGCGGCGGTGGAGGTACTACCTCATGGGTGGCCGTCAGCAGCAATGCGCACAGCGGAGCTTCTGCGGGCCACGGCCAGACTACTCCAAGGGGAAGGCCGCAGAGATCGTCTTTGGCAAGATCAGCGAGGTGCCCTTCGGGACTTGCCATTGAGGATAGGAGCAGTGCCGGTCCTTCGACCAACATTGCGCGGAGCAGTGGCGCAAGCCCTTCGGCTGGCACTGCGAAGCGCAAATCCTCCAACAGTGCGACTCGGTGTGAAAGTGAACTCCGCAAGCAACTTCTACATGTCAGCTATGAGATGGATGAGAGTGAGAAAGCTAAGTTTGAACTCGAGGAAAGAGCCAACTTGTTTGAGGATGCATCACGTCATCGCAATGAAGCAATGTGTGAAATGGAGATCTATTCCAACTACAACTTCGACATGTACCAATAATATGTCTCCACTGAGGTCGTGTACCAACAATATGTCTCCACTGAGGTCGAGTACATGAGGGAATCATTAGCCAGTGCAGCACGTATCATGAGTGAACAGTCTGAGGCTCTTGCTGAGGCACATCTTATGCATGAAGGCTCTACTATGAGGATCATGGAGCTTGGTCGTCGCAATGAGCTTGTAGAGGATGGAGCACGACATATCATTCGGGAAAATGAAATTGCACGGCAACGATACCACTCTGAACTCGAGAATGCAGTTCGTCACATACAAGAACAACATCATAACGCAGAGGAGACGGCAGAGAAGTTCAGACAACAACGAGAAAGACTTCAACAAGAGTGTCATGAGTACGTCGCCGAGAAGGAGGAGATGAATCGTCAGGAGATGGCATCTATCACATCGAGGTTAGCTGCAAATGCGGAGATGGTGATGGTGAACAATGAGAACCTCCAGGCGAACGCCCAGAACGCCGTGATGATCAAGGATCAGGAACTTGTCCACATGCAGGGTCAGATCCCAGAGTCTACGGAGAACATGAGGCAGAAGGATCTCACGATCGAGGACCTGAAACAGAAACTACGCGATCAGATTGCCTATGCAGGAAAGTTGAAAACATTGACAGTGCGAGGATGAGCCTGAGGGATTCCGAGTTGACATTGAAGAACGAGATCATCGAGCAGAGAAGATTGATGAGCAACTGCGAACATGAGTGCATCAATGAAAGGATGATTGCTGATCAACTTCGTGACAAGAACATGATCCTGGACAACGAGGCTAGTATCAAAGCAGTGATGGAGAACTTCAAGGAGAAGAACGCCGAACTCTCTGAGGACAACTATCAACTTCGCCTACTACGTGTCACCGAGATCTTGCAGGGCAAGTGGGATGATGTCGCTAGCTTGCCCAATTCACGAGTCGTCGGGGAGCTTCGAAGAGAACTCAGCCGACTGCAACAGGAATTTCGAGCGAAGAATAGCCGAATCGTCGAACGGAGCGCAACAGTGGACAAGAGAACGACCGAAGAGATAACGAAGATCCTGATCCAGAGAGATGATGCGATCTTGAAGAACGGGACTCTACATCGAGTTGCAAGAGGCAAACAGGAAGCAAGTACCAGATGGGCGCTTCTTCGTCAATCCAGACTACGAACCCTCAAGATGAGATCAACCAGAGGCTCAGGGACGAAATTGCTGAACAAGAAGGCCGAGCTGAGAGGAACTATGAAGAGGTTACGCCAGGTTGAGGAAGGTCAAGAGTCCATCAAGGCCACTGATGAGAACATCGGCAATTTCTAGCCCCTGGGTCGGTCGTGGGCAAGGCATCAGGTGACGGGCAGAATGAATGGGTCACGAGGGTTTCCCGACGAGAACACGACAAAGTGGTCGTGAAGCCATGGCCAAGATGTCAAGACTTGGATGTGTGGCGTTCGGGAACGGTCCAAGCAGTCTGTGTCGCATCTGGTGATCCCGACAAACGAGCATGGCAAGACTGGTTGGATCCTGCCCAGAGGTCTCACCCGGAATATGAACTACTTGCATATTCGGGGGATTTCCGATTTCAGTCTATTGACTCCAAGCTATCGTTCGCACTTCAGATCATGGTCGAGAACGGAAGTCCGTCTGCCGTGTCAATTAATTAAGCAACGTTGCATTGTGTCTCCAGCTGTTGAGTGCATCATGGATGATACGGCGGTTACTTGTGTCAACACCACGGGTCTGATGGTCGTTCCCGCTGTAAAGGTCTTTATTCCACATGACTACACAATTCGGATTCAGAAGAAGGAGATTCCGTACGAGGGCAACATCGATGACAGTCATGTCTATCTGGTTTTGGATCGAAACAACGGGGAGACTTTGCACTAGAAGTTCCACATATATATATATATATATATATTCCAAATTTGTTGGGTACAGAGATGTACAGAGCACAGTAACCATGACATTGAGATCAACATTCATGAACTGCACCCAGACACCCCGGCTATGGTATTGATGTGTGCGGAACCTTTCAGTCGGATGACAAATTGGTATTCACGCAACACTGACAAGAATTGACAAGTCCTTTCACCTCGAGTTGATTACTGAAGATGATGATCTACTCTCGAAGTACGGGGATGCCAAGTGGAGGGCTTGCCTCCGATCCAACGAGGATTGCGTGTTCTTCGCAGGTGCATGCACCGGCGGATCGCCATGGAATCAGCTGAACAAAAGAAATGGTCCAGTCACGGCGCATGAGATCAACATGAAGGTATCCTTATACTGGAAACTTTGGGAAGTATTTTCAAAGTGTCTTGTCAAGGTCATCAACATGGATGCTATGGCTATGCTGGAGTTGCCAAGAGGGTGTGATTAATGGAACGACAAACGTATGAAGTTCATGATCAGCGGAACAGAGTAACACATTCATGATTATGACGGTTGGACGGTCTCACTACTCAGTTTGCGGACGAAACATTGCCGGCCGTTAAAGAAGCCATGGAGGATAGTGTCATGGGGGGCCAAGTTTGACTTACAAAAGAAGTGTGACAGGAGTCATGATCATGGTAGGAGTTCGCGACGCGGAAGCTGAGGGACTTCATCAGAGAATTCCGATCAAGAAGACAGCATGGTGACCTCAGAGGCATCAACAACTCCGCGCCCAAGGACAAGACCTACTATGCTCGCACCCGTGGTGAGAAGTTCAACAAGTGCATGAAGGATTACCTCTACGCACGACCTGATGCACCGCACTGGGAGGACGAGCCGAACAGGGTGCTATTGATGAAGTACGTGGACGAGCTTGACCTGCGTCTCACTGGTCTTGGACATGCCTGGCGTGTACACTATGGACAGCATCCCCAGTTCCCATTGAACTTGGAGATGGCCTTGGACCACCTGATCACCATGAATCAGAAGCTGACACGTGAACAGCCAGCGGCCGTCAGCCACTTCAGCTGCATCTTGGCTTTGATGACGGTGCTGGAAAAATGGAGGATGTTCATGCACGCTAGGGTCAACTGGTGCTCGAACGAAGCCAAATTGGTGTATACAAGAACATGATGCATGTGATCAACAAGGTGAAGCAATCGTCGGGGCTCCCCGATGAGATTCTCTTGCACAGTGGCTACAACATCCACAATTCCATTGCGGCTGCAATCAGTGACTGCGCACACTGTGCGCACCGAGTGCACCGAGTGCACTTGCAGCGCACCGAGTGCACCGAGTGCACCGAGTGCACTTGCAGCGCACCGAGTGCACCGAGTGCACCGAGTACACTTGCAGCGCACCGAGTGCACCGAGTACACTTGCAGCGCACCGAGTGCACCGAGTGCACTTGCAGCGCACCGAGCACACTTGCAGCGCAACGAGTGCACCGAGTGCACCGAGTGCACCGACTACACTTTCAGGTGTTGAAGCCTCTATCTATCTACCTGCCTATCTATCTATCTATCGATCGATCTATCTATCTATCGATCTATCTACCTATCTACCTATCTACCTATCTACCTATCTATCTTTCTATCTATCTATCTATCTAAGTATCTATCTATCTATCTATCTATCTATCTATCTATCTATCTATCTATCTATCTATCTATCTATCTATGTTTGCATGTATGCATGCATGTACTGTATTGATCGTTGTTCCTAGTTGTTTGTTTTTCTATCTGTCCTCTATCTAACTAATGTCTTTTCTTTTCTTCTTCAGCCTGTTTTTTCCTACCTATCGGTATGTCTATGTTGGGTAGTTGTCCACTTTGCACTAGCTTTGAACAAGTGACCTGAGGAATCCGGTTTTTTTAAACCTGACAAAGGGTCTCTAGCAGTGTGGTTGCCCTGCGGGGCCGCTAAGTGATTTCTGCCGCTTGCCCCGCTTGCTTCGCTTGCTCCGCTTCTAGGGAAAATAAGTGAATCTTCCTCCTTGCCCTGCTTGCCCCGCTTGCCCCACTTGCCCTACTTACACCGAGGTCTTACCTCGGTGGTTCTTCCCGCTTGCCCCGCTTGCCCCGCTTGCCCCGCTTGCCCCGCTTGCCCTGCTTGCTTTGGTTTCACCAGACAGCAATATGAAAAAGAAATAGAGGTGTGGTAACGTGAATGGAATGTTTGGGCAAGTGCGGCGAGTGGGGCGAGTGGGGCGAGTGGGGCGAGTGGGGCGAGTGGTGCGAGCGGGGGGAGTGTGGCGAGTGGGGCGAGTGGGGCGAGTGGGGCGATTGGGGCGAGTGGTGCGAGTGGGGCGAGTGGGGTCGAGTGGGGCGATTGGGGCGAGTGGGGCGTGGGGCGGCCGACGGGGATTAAGTGGCGAATGGTGTCAAGCGCAGTTGAGCAGGGTGGGGAAGACACTTATGTGAAGAAGGTGGAATGTTTTTCCAGCATCATAACAATGTTCGAACTGACCACAATGTATGCACATTGTTTCCCAAAAATCCATCCATGCCTTGTTGGGGCGTGGGCGAGTTAACATGCTTGGAATATTTCTGCGACACTTTTCGCAAGTTTAGGTGTAGAAGCAAGCCGCCTGACGGGTCGACGTGAAAATGGAGGGGCCGGGGAAGCATCTTGGGTCATTCTTAGTATGATCTACACCCATAAAATCATCGGTATCCATATATGATCCCCATCACCATACGCCCACAATCATCACAATCATTCATGTTATCCTTTTTGTGATCATATCACCATCCATATCATCCACTTTATGATCTGTATCATCGTTCACCATCCATATCCATATCGAAGGTTCCATGACTTATCATGGGAGTACTCACAAGAAGCACTTCCATTTCTCGATCTGCTCACTGCAGTTGGTGGGATTGGGTAAATGGGACCTGAGCAGAGCAACGCGATGTACAGATTCAAAAGCCTGCTCCGTAAGTAAAATCGAAAAGTAGAGAAGCCGGTCGAGCCATCCTTTTCCGAAGAGTAGGTGTGCATTTGGTCAGTCTGCTAAGTGTTGGCAGAACATGCTAACAACAGAATGATCAAGAGGCAACGGCAACGAGGTTCTTCAATTTTGCCCAAGATGTTGAAGCATTCTACAACCTTTTCGCTCAAACAGCAAGACTTTGGAAGATTAAAAAAACATTGCTCAAAGTGAAAGCGCACCGGCTCGCTTCACGAGAATCGGCTGGCGTCAGATTTGGAGAAACCTGGCACAGCAGTCCGGTAAGGCCAAAGAGGTTCAGTGCCAAAGCTATGTCATCATGGTCTCTCATCTTCTGCAGTTGGCCACAAGGAATCCCAGCTTCTTCTTTCTCCCGAGGCGGTTGCTTCCTTCAGCTTTCCTTGCATCTCTCCATCTTTGACATGCCAGACAGCTTGCTTCCCCTTTTCCCATCGAACTGGGGATCTGAACCCTACGGTGGCAACAATCTCGTGGACCAACGGCAAGGAGGCACAGACCCATGGGTTTTCAACCTTGCTGGCTTGAATCACTTTCCCTAGGCACACCATCCCGACCACGCAACTTTTGGACAAAGAAGCTTCCTCTGGCGCATCCGGCCATGTCTGGCGCAAGGGCCGAACATTCGGGGGGCAAGCTGTTGATTGACTGACGGGCCACGTGCAAATAGTACCAGCCAGCTGCCATCCGCCTCTTCCGAGATTCTATGCGTTTGGAACCTCACAGCATAGCTAAGGCAACCTGCGGCCCCTGAATGGTGAAGGCTCGCCATGTCGCTTGCGCTTTGTCGGCCATGGCTTCAAAACAGAGCTACAAGGTTGTAAATGACAATGATGATCTTGTTCACAGCATTAACACGTACATCTACATATCAGCTTAATGTCACAATGTCTACGTCAATCGCCCGGCTCGGAGAGCACAGGTTGACAATACTGGCACAGGTGCCTAAATTTGAGCCCAACGGAGACAGGCGCAAACAAGCAAATGCTACACCACATTGTAAGTTAAAAACCATGAGGTTCCCTGAACATGCAGGGCAGCTGCTGCAGACAGTAGATCTGGAGAATTGAGAAGAATCATGATACCACGTTTGTCCAAACCTCGGCAGCTAGACTGCCTGCCGTTGTGCGGACCAGGCTCTGCACCCAGCTTCCCACTGCAACTTTTTAAACACCACAACAGACTGTGCCACAGACTTGTTTGTCTATACTATGTCCAGATCTGCCGACATGTGTATCGACTGCCGCGGGCTGCCAAACAAATTCCTACCAGAAGCAACATCACAAGTACCGAACCTGGTCACACACATCCATGGAATCTCCACCGTATGTCGCATGTCCCCAAGTGATAATGCTCCCGTCCTTGCTGATGGCAGTGAAAGCCCTGCACGTTGCATGCAATGATTGGATGTCCTTCTGAAGCTTGTTCTGCACCTGGCTGCTGTCGCCGCCGCAGGCATAGTTGCCCCAAGTAACAACCTTTCCACCCTCACAGATTGCAGCAAAAGCATAGTCTGTGCTGACGATGTCTTGAACCTCACAGAGCTGTTTTTGGACGTGGCTGCAATCTCCGCCACTTCTTGGGCAGCCCCAAGCTTCAAGGATAGCAGCCAAGGATTACTGTTTCCTGTTAACTTCACCGCGCCTTTGATTTCTTTGTTCCTGTGATTCATTTCTCCATGACAAGATAGTCCATCCTTTTGAAGAGCCGCAATAGCATTGCGTGTTGAGAAAATGTCGATGATGTTTCTTAACTTGGTGGAGGCTGCCACGCAATTGCGAGTTGCGGGCCAAACATCATTGCCATCACACCCCCAAATTTTCACATGGCCAAAGGGCAACGCGACTGCAAAAGCACATTTTGTTGACAGAATTGTCTTGACGTGTGCAATAGGCTCCGTGTTGCCGCCATAAATTGAAAAGCCCCATGCAACAACAGTCCCGTCTCCAAGCAAAGCCGCAAAAGCTGCTTTTGTGGATTGGACATGCTTAACGTGATGAAGCTGAAGTGTGCCTGAGTCACCACCACATTCTGGATTGCCCCAAGTGATGACCTTCTCATCAGCTGTGATGGCTGCGAACGCGCTTTCAGTACAAACAATATGCTGCACCCCTGTGAGCAAACGTTGAACAGTAGCAGAGTCACCGCCATGTAAGGCGCAGCCCCAGGTGACCGCGCCACCATCCTTGAGAACTGCAGCAAATGCGAGGTCTGTAGCAAACACCTTTTGGACATGCTGCAACCGGTCTTGAACCATGGAAGAATCTCCACCGCTTTCAGCATCGCCCCACGTAACAACTTTGCCACTTCCTAGGATCGCAGCAAAAGCATGCTCTGTGGCCTTCATGTCCACAACATTGATCAAGCTTTTTGCATCACACCTGCGGTATCGCCTCCAGACTCGTGATGTCCCCAGGAGAGCACCCTGCTTCCACCTGTACACCACAATGAAAATGCACAATTGGTTGCTGCAACTCTGGGCTGCTGAGCAATTGCAGTGATGGTAGCATTCTCTTGCAGGTCATCGTAAGAATCACATTTCTTGTTTGGGTTTAGGATGCATCCCTCAGGAGAACATAGCTGTAAAAAAGGCTTCTGGAGCTGTTCCTGCGCTTGTACTTTCAACTCCAAGACCCACTCTCCAAGCACTCTGCAGCTGCTGCCATTTGGCAAGGAAATGTTATATCCGACTGCAGTGGTTTTGGAGCGCTTCCAAGGTGGCCCATCATGCCTAATCATAATCCTGTGAGGGCTGCTTTCAATTGGGGCAGCTTCTGTCATGTCCAATTCGAATCTATCCCAATGACTCCTGACTCATTGATATTTACAGTAACAACAATATCAGTGATAGCATGAATATGAATGATCACTGTCAAAGTCAGCTATACAAATGTCAGCTCAACATCAATTTCCCAGCTCGGAGAGCACAGGTCAATAAAACTAGTGCAGGTGCCTAAATTTGAGCCCAACAAATGAAGCCAGGCGCAAACAAGCACATGCTACACCACACTGTAGTTAAAAAACATCAGGTTCTCTGAGCATGCAGGGTAGCTGCAGCGAACAGTGCATCTGAGGAATTGAGAAGATCTCCCGACTATTTCGACCACTAGATTACCATTGCGCCCAGCTTCCCGTCGCAAATTTTTACACCATAGCAGGCTGTGCCGCAGACTTGTTTGTCTATACCATATGTCCAAGTTTGTGAAGATGTCTAATCCTGCCGCAGCTGCAGTAGCAACATTAATGGCCACTGCAACTAGAAAGTGGCAAACGCAGATTGCACTGCGGAGCTATCCCTGCCTCCGTCCTGCGCTCCCCATGTAACAATGGATCCATTGTGTCGCACTGCTGCAAACGCTTTGGCAGACCCATGTATGAACTTGACACCCGTCAGCATACCTGGACTGTTGATGCTTCCACCGAAGTCTGGGAGGCCCCAGATGACGACTGTGTCATCGGTGCGAAGGGCTGCGAAAGCTCCTGAAGTTGAAAAAATCTCTTGGACATCTTGAAGCTGCGCCTGGACGGAACAGCTGTTGCCTCCACTGGCTTCGGAGCCCCAAGTAACTACTGAACCGTCTTGCCGGAGGGCTGCAAAGGAGTTCATTGTGGAGCAGATCTGGCGCACAGAAGTCAGCTGATGCTTGACCGCAGACATGCCAATGCCTGATGTGCCCCCCCCCCAATAAATGAGTGACCAATCTTCAAGAATGGCAAAGAACCCTTTCAAAGAGGGTGTGACTTGCCGGACTTTCTGTTGCAGCTTGCTACGTATCACAGAACTATCGCCTCCCAAGGTGGCGTCTCCCCAGGTGACAAGCGACCCTTCCTCCGTGACAGCTGCAAATGCAGAAGGGTTGCCCTGAACATTCACAATGCCTTGAAGTCGGTCTTGGACCATCGAGCTGTCTCCTCCACTACTAGGGTCTCCCCAAGCAACCATAGACCCTCCAACAAAATGGCAGCGAATGCAGTATCCGTGCTGTGAATCTGCGTCACTCCCTGCAATTTGGCTTGGACAGCAGAACTATCTCCGCCACAAAACGGATCACCCCAGGTGACGACAGACCCATCATGACGAAGGGCGGCGAATGTTATCATAGTTGGAAGGCAGCAGGCCAAGTAGACACTGCGACCCAAGAAATTCAAGAACCTTAGTTGCTGCGATATCTTCGATCCAGCACACGCTCTCGGACACAGCCCAAGTGGGTCAAGATTGCAGCATCAACCTGTTCATTCCGGCCTGTTGGCCAACCTAGCACTCTCTGCAAAAGATCATGCGGGGGCGACGTTCGGGTCGCAGCAAAGGCTGAGCAGTCCCAGGCCAAGTGATCCCATGTTGGCACATTGCCAGACGCACACCACTTGCATGGAGCTGGTGCGGTGTTGGGGTCTCGAATCCTATCTAAACGGGCATCTGAAACAACGGCACCAATCAAGCAAGCACGTGAGTGAGTGTTGGAAGACTGGTATGTTTGGCGCGTGAGTTTGGCCCTGGCCTCTTGATAAACACTTCCTGGGCGGCGAATGGGGGCAAATATTGCAAAGGCAACAGGCCAAATATGCAGACCGGAGTCTGCACTAAGACGCTGCCACCAAAAAGAAGCCCTTAGGCAATTCCTCTGTATCGTTTGTCAAGAAGCTTTTGGCGCACTTTCCCCAAATGGGCAAGCACTGCTTGATCTGTTCCTGGATTGTGGCCCATTGGCCAGCCTAAAATTCTCTGAAATGCATCATTGGGACGGCGGGGCCTGCTGGCCGAGAATGCCGGGCAGTACCAAGCAGCATGGTCCCAGCATGGAATTGCACTTGGATGCTGGCACCAAGAACAAGGCTGGATGGGTCTGTGATACATCCGATCCAATCGCGCATCTGAAACCACTGCCCCCATCATGACTGCCTTAGCGTGTGTATCAAATTCTCGAAACAACTGCCTCGCAGCAGCAACTCTAGATTCTGCATAAGGAGGTGTACCAATTGCTTGCGCATCTCTGCGTGAGCTACCCAAAAAGTTGGCAAACAGGATGCGTCTCCAAGATTCTCTCAGCATATGTTTTTCTACATCAAGTTCTGCTGTAGACACACGGCCCGACCAGCGGATGATGCCACGGGCGCCAAGTGCATGGCAGCGCCAATGAAATGGGCCTTCTTCGATCCAACCCAGGTCTTCCAGCCAGCCTCGGACAGTGCCAAGCCATGTGCCTCTGGTGGGGCTGCGAGGCCATTGGCGAGCACGTTTCCGTACCTCAGCAGCCAAATACAGATATGCTTGCATGCCAGCAACAAACTCAGCATTCAGGCCGTGTCCGGCCAAAATGTAAAACAAGTCAGTGGATGCTTGAGGATGTTCACTACCTGCAATTCTTTTGACAATGCTAGTTAGACAACGCACTTGGCTCAAGTTGGTCCAACAGCCCCAAGCAGCTTTAGGGATGGCGATGGACGCCACATGTTGGGCTTTGAGATGCATTCCAACTGGCAGTACTGCAATCCGTTGCAGTCGAGACTTAGTCACTCTCAAGCGTTCTTCTGAAGTTTTTCGGTCCGAAGCACCGAGGCGGGTTGTGAAATCAATGCCCAAAACCCTGGCTGCATTTGTGACATGATGCTGTGCAAAGCCTTGTGCCACAAGCTGAGCTTCATATGCAGCCCTCCGGGGGACTACACGTGCTTTGCTGTCATTTTCCCACAATCCCAAACGCGATGACACCTCTTGCCAGGTTTGCCATAAGCGAAATCCTTGCTGGGGATCTCTTGCAATCATGTTTCGATCATCAAGGAATGTGGCTAAACTGAAAAGCTGGGGCTCACGGCGGAGCACAATCTTGGTAATTCCTGTCATCAAAGCAAGTAAAGTCAGGGGACTGGTGGCATCCCCTTGTGGGAGTGATGTACGCACCTCAATCGGCCCCGGCATGTACTCACCATTGTAGGTAAGCCACCGTGGCTGCTGCCATACAAATTTCAACATTTGAAGCATGGGAGAAGGACAACCGAAATGCCGAAGACAAAGAATACCCAGCTCTGGATCAACTGTGTCAAAACATTTTTGAAAATCTAAGCTCAGCAAAACCCCTCCTTTTTCAAATTTTTGAAACAACATGTCCACTGCTCTGGCGACTCCTTTCCCGTGGATACCACCACAGGCTGTTGGATGGACCCGAGTAAGTATCCATCTGCGAGTTGCGGCTCTCCTGGTCCAAGCAGAACTAACTATTCGCCAAATAGTGCACTGGATGGATATCGGTCGCAAATCCTTCGCAGATATGGCCTGATCTTGTGTGCGTAATTTCGCGCCCGGTTTCTGCAAGTGTACCTGTCTGGTATGTTTCCAAACACTTGGAAAATCTTGGCGTGCAATCCATCTGGTCAGCAGTTCGGCCAAGATTTCCCAGGCACGGAGCGGCAATTGTGCCGCTTCGGAACCTGTTATCCCATCTGCTCCACCAGCTGAGCCCTTCATTCTGATTGCTTGTCTGTGAAGTTCCTTAGGTGTGAGGTTTGACCAGGCATATTCCGGCATGGGCTCACTGCCTTCCTGCCAAAACTGAAAAGCTTCCTGCACGGGTGGCCTGTCTCTTTCCCAGATAGTCTTCCAAAACTGCGAAATAGCTTCAAGAGATTGCTGATTCGAAGAAGTGGCTGTATTGTCCTGGTATCCTTCAAAGTGCACCGAAGTGACTGGGAGATTATTATCCCTTTTGACCCACTCACGGGCATGGCTCATGTTATTGCGCATCTTGCGGCGCCATTCTTGGAGCTTTTCCAATCGATCCTGTTTCACAAGTGTCTTGATTTCCTGATCTGCCCAATGCTCAATATCAAGGAGAGAAACAAAGTTTTTACCACGGACCAAAGGATGTTGCCATATGCGCCGCAACAACACGGCTGGAACTGAGGCCCCGGCTGCTTGTTGGACGTTGGCTTCTCTGACCCTTCCGAGCAGCTTTCTGGCCTTCAACTCTCGGCATGAAGCATGCTGTTTCAAGCGAAATATGGCTGGCTCAAGTTCTTTGATTTTCATAGGGCTGCCTTTTGCCCGGACATTGGCGGTGTGCCCATGGCTGAGGCTTCCGCTGCAAATTTGGTGGGCAGCATCGTATGAAGATTCAACGGCGGAGCAAAAAGTATTCCATTCTTCTTCGCTTGTCGTGTTCGGAGGCATGGGGACCTGTTGCCATGCCTTCACCATGGCTTTGTCCCAATCCTTCTGGGGAATTTGCTCTGGTCGCAATAAACTGCGGGTGGGCACTTGTTTAAAGCTTTGCACACATTCCTGGCTGTATTGAAGATTAAAAGTTAAGGCTTTATGATCAGAAAAGACAGCTTCGGAAAAGGCAAGTTCATCTACCATGAAAGGGTGTGAAGACCAAATCCAGTCAATGCATCTGTTACCTTCCAACTCGTGGGTGCTCTGGTCCCATCAGGGAGGGAAACGACTTTGGCTGCTCCACCATCGGCGAGGGCCGTCCAGCGGTCCGCAAGTTCCGGCTCTTGGTTGAAATCTCCTAAAATGACAACTGGCTCTAAGGCTCCCGCCGATGCAATCCATTCATCCAGCACTGTCAGTGTTTGCGTTGCTTGGGAGTTGCGGGGCGGCAAGTATGCACCAATGATAAACATGTCATCCAATTGAAGCATAATGGCTTGTCCGTCATAGGCAACATGTCTGTTCACTTCTCTAGCACCCTTGTCTTTAGCGCACAAAGATGGCCACTCCACCAGATGTGTAGGCATGCCCTAAGACTAAGACGCTGTGTGATGCCGGAGGTGCAACAAACCAGCTTCTGTAGCCTTTAGCCTGCATGAATCTAGAAAGATCTGCCTGCTTGTCTGGCAGCAGACAATGTTCCTGGAGTATGGCAATGGCGGGTTTTTCCTTACAAATCCACCTGGCACAGGCCCATGAATTTTCACGGCCATTGACGTTGATCGTGATGCCATGCATGTGACGACAACTTGACGGACCAGGGTTCGGCTCAACATCACCATCTTCTGTATGGTCCCGCTGCCAGACTTGCGCTGGCAGCGGGGGCAACTTCTTGTCTGTGCCAGCCTTTTGAAGCACATTTATTTCTTGGTGGCTGAGTTTCCAATGTCTAGCTAGGAGCTTGACTGCCTTTTGATCTTCTTTTTGTCTACATCGCAACCAAAGATTTTGTCTCGATCCACGTGCCATGTGAACGGATCTGGCAGCGTGTCCACCACACTCATGTTGGAGCAAATAACTAAGTTTCTGGAAAACAAGAGTACATGTCCCACAGCTGAAATTAATGCAATCAGAAAGAAAACCATGCGGGATACGGAAAGCCCCCGCCTGAGTGGATTGGTTGTAACTTTCAATCAAGCTGTCGTTGTGTTTGATCTTTTTCTCTGCATTTGATTTGACAAGCTGTGCATGGATTCCTCGCCAGATAGGACTGTTGTAGTGGAGCTTTTTGAGTTTAGCTTTGGTGATACCATAGCACCGTATGACATGAGCATCGCGGCTAATTTTGAGTTGGTGGCGCGGCATGTACGCCAACCCCTCCCCGCATTTGTTACATGTCCAAGCTCGCTGACTTTCTGGAATGCTTCCGCTCGCATTTGCGATTTGAGTAATTGGGCGTGGGAAACAAGCATGAACAGCTTTGGCTTTCTTGGGGTGTTCCTTTTTGATATGCCTAAGTCGTGCACTGGCAATTGACTTCTTGTTATGGTATCTGAAAACTTGCTGACACAAATTGCATGTCCAAACAAATTGCTCGGAAACGTGGGTAGCTCGGGTACCCTTCTTTTTGTTCTGTTTCCTGTTGCCGGTGCCCACAGGCTGCACACTGCGGACTGCGCTGCTGACTGTCTTACTTTTTGGTTTATTGACTGTCACGGCTGTCTTAGTGCAAGACTCGATGTTTCGTGTCAATGTGCTTCGGTGGCTGTTGGGATAACATGCTGGAAGTTTCCTGGAGCTTTCAGGTGTACAGGCTGGTCTCCAGGAAGCACCGTGTGACTTGACGGATCCATTTCTCTTGATTGTTTTGGTCTTGGATTCAGGGGTGTGCGCTGGTCGCCAGGAGTGGGCCGAACTAGCACAACTTCTGGCAGGAGCTGGTGACTTCCCGCCGCCTCGTAGAGCGACGCTGGCAACAGATGCTTGAGCGGCTTGAGTCCATTCTTTGGGCCATTGCCGGCCGGCTTTGAGCTGTAACAGGGTGTAATGGCCTTGCCGATCGTTGAGTAGCAGTACGATGGGCTCTCTTCCTGATCGGGGCGTTCCAAAAGCCATGGGTTTGTCTTTCTCTTCTCCTTCCAAGGGAATGACAATGATGTGCATACCATAGCGTTTGCTTGCCGCCCTCAAACTGAGACCGTCGATCCACCGTCCTTCCCTGAGTGTGCATTCCAAGTATTCTTCCCATGTGGTGGGGGAAGGGCCTGCATCAATGGTTTCCTCAGATTCTGCTGGGACAAAATATTCTTGATATTCAGAAGCATACTTATCCAAATGTTTATATAAGTCATGTCTGATTGTTCTGGCACGTGCTGGTAGATCGCCCTTCACCTGTTCGATCGATTCTCCCTTGTCGAGAGCCAGCGCAGCTGCCAGGCAAGTGTAGCCGCAATTACCGCCGCCGCCGGTATCGAGCGATGTCACTTTGTCCATGAAAGGGCCAAAGGGGCCCGCTTCTTTGGATTTTTCTTTCTCTTTCTCTTTGGGTTTATCCTTGGCGGCATCCTTGCTGGGAGAACGGCTGCGTTCTCTAGCCAGCTCCTGCCTTTGTTTTTCTGCCTCAGGTTTAGTCACCTGTGTGCATTGAGCTTGATATGCCGACCGGATGACAGACACCACTTCCGGAGAGCGGCGTTTCTTGTTCTGGACACGGTTGAGATACAGAACCCGTGTGCCTGCGTGGATTGCAACCACACCCAGGCTGTTCTCATCTGGCACGACTGCTTTGATTAACCAAGACCTGTGGCGTCCTGGGGGATTTATGATAGCAGCCCCTTGACAGCCTGCATCGAACAAGCATTGCATGACATCTTGTCCAAACCAATGCTTGGGAGCGCCGTGGAGGGTCCATGCATGTAGCTGTGGCATGTGCTAGTTTTCTTGGAGACGAAGACCCAAACATGTGCTGCCACCCTTGCGAAAACATAAGCTGGAGTTTTCTTTTTTTGGCTTCAGCATGCGCCCGGGTAAAATATGAGCTCATGGTTTCACCTTCTTTGATCTGAATCCACCAAATGTTCGGTCTTCTGCTCTGTTCATTATTGAGTTTATCAACAAACAGGCCGTCTTTGCCACTCAATTTTGTGATCTGATCGATGGATTTTTCCTGTGAGCGCAAGAAACCCTGCAAAAGAGTCTCGGGCTCCTGCTGCTTTTTGTTGACAATCATGTCACTACACGGTCATTGTGACACCACAGAGCAAAGGCTTGCCAGGTTGAAGCTAGACAAGGGAAACGCGCGACACATGTAACGCAGCGTGCGCTTGCAGCCGAAGTAATCATTTCATCGACCCGCAACACCGCACCTCGCGCGTCCAGGATGACCAAGAACTGTTGATCGAAGCATCGCTGCAAAATCTCTTTGAGTTCCTGAACCTTGGCTGATACTGCTAGCGTGACAGTCTGCTGTTTCCCACTGGGCAGTACCGCAGTTATGTCTTGCGTTTCCATGGCGGCCAATGCAGCGAATGTATTTGTCTAAGTCTATTTCCCGGCTCGGAGAGCACAGGTGGACAACAGTAGCTCAGGCGATCATCAAACTTGAGCACAACGGGAGCGACAGTCGCAAATAGGCACATGCAACATGGCACTGCAACTTTGATGCAAACAAGGAAACCATGATGCAGCACAGCTGCTGCAAGGACTGCGAACCAGGAAAACCGAGAAAAACAATTCAAAATAATGAGAAGGTGTTTGACGCAAACGAGGACACCATGGTGCAGTACAGCTGCAGCGCGGTCTGCGAACCTGGAAAACTGGGAAAAATTGAAAATCATGAGAAGGTGAGTGGTTTTGAAGTAATGGCAGCATGCAGCATGACACAAACAACAACCAAGCCAGCCGGCTTTTTCCGCGCTTTTCGAACAAAGCTGAATCGTTTCCTGGCCCTTGTTGAGACAGCTGATCTGAAATCATTCGGGAGCAGCTAAAGCCCCCAACATTCATCAAAGGTATATTCCCAAGCCATGCATGGCCGTGGAAGCAAGTGCTGGCAAAGTTCCACAGTAGCCCGGCGACTGCCAGAAGTTGGCAACTCTCACAACAGCTTGATGAAGATGCGCTCTGGTCCGGCGATGGATGCGTGCTATCAGGAATGAGCAAGTTTCACTGACCCGACTCTGTGAGATTCTCTTGGGCCGAAAAGTGCGCAGCGTAGAAAGCTGACATGACTCAAAACGAAATCTTTCAGAAACATCTGAAACAAGCAGCAAGATTCGAAATCAAGGTTCTAAAGTTCACGTTATCTGTCAATGCCGATCCAGCCCGCAAAGACACCATCACTCCACCAAATTCAACCCCGGCCTCGGACATGAGCATGAAGATAAACTGCAAACAAACGACTTCAAATAGGGCAGCCGTGGTAACGGTACAGATGATGAATTTCTGTCGCCGGGAGATCAGTTCCTGACATCTCGCTGTTGACTTCAAGATGTCCCAATCACAAACAGAATCTGCAATCTACAGCTCAAGACATTACATACACCAGCACACTTTGCGTCGCTACCTACTGGCTTGGTTCGAACCACTGTACCAAATCTCTATATTTCCATACGCCCCACTGCCTAACCAAGTACGGGTAAATAACATACATCCTTGTGATTATAGACTGTTGTATGCTCGAGATACCATCGACAGCCCGGCTCAGAGAGCACAGGTAAGCCAAGGGCCGCTAATCTTGACAGTGGCAAGTGGCACCACCAGATAGAGCCAGTGTTTGCAAGTTCAGTCACATTGGGAAACAAGAAAGTGATGGCGCCACTGGTCCTTCACATCAATGGCCAAAATATCATCAGTTGAAAGGCTGTCATCTCGCTACAGGATCGCTACAGCCTTTTTTGTTGGTCGTTGGCTGCTTGCTGAACAGCCAGAAATTCTGATGCAGTGGTTTGCTTTTGTCAGCCTTCTTCAGTGGAAATTGAACTGAACGCCGTGAAACTTCCTCAAAATCGTGCCCCAGAGGCTTGCTGTGTGTGGAAGGGGGCCATCCCTTTCATCATTGGTGGATGGCCAACGAAGAGGCCAATGATGAGAGCTGCAAACGTACCTGCGACCTTACACCTTCGGACATGGCCAGGTGGCTAAGCCATAAACCACCCATGCCGACATGACACGCTAACATGATAACATGACATTACATGTTTTCATCTCATCTCATTTCACCCTCTCCATTCGGGGTGTCTCCATGTGAGTGAATTCAACTATATACCGCGCTAAAATTGCAACCTGAGCACGCAGGTCCTGATATGTCACACCTTTTCCAAGATGAAGAGCGCTGGATCACCATGCGTTGAAGTACGGAAGGCACCCTGCAAAAACCGGCACTCGCTGCGGACCCGTTGCGACTGTTAGGGCGCATAAGGCAATCACACCCAAGTGCTCTAGTAGGTCCTGTTTTGCTTTTGCAGGTGCCTGTGACTGGTGTCAGGTGGCAATTACATTCTTTCAGGTGCTGGAGCCTTGTGTTCAGTTGCTTTGAGGCGACAGGCGACAGGTGTCCATCTTTCAGGGTATGCCGCGGGGCCTTGGATTCTAAATTGCGTGTCTGGTTGGGCGCACAAAGCAGTCAAGAGTGCTGACTCCAAATTTGCCTTGGCGTGCCGTCCCAATGCCCGGCTGCATAGCGGGTACGAAGTGTGGGAGAGTGATCCTCGCGCTGTAGGTTTTCAGCGTTGTTTGCACAGCGGATGCCATTGACCACTGCCCATTGGCTGCACGCGTGGCTAGAGCATAGCATTGTTGACGAGCCCATGTGCTCTGTGTCTAGGAGCGTGCTGCTGTAGTTTTGCTGGTTGGCCGCCTGATGGTGGCAGTGGGTGCGTGAGGCACCGGGTCTGGGTGGCCGCCTGATGGTGGTGCAGGGTGCGTGAGGCACGAGACGTTGCGCATGCGACCTTGGCTTAGGTTTTGTTTTGCGCATGCAAGCAAGTACTAGCATTTTTGTTCGCAAAGCAAGTTGCAAGTGGCACCGTGTTTTGATTGGCATTTGCCTCTTTCTTTTCTTTTGTTGTTATGTCGTGGGCCTCTGAGCTTGAGAAAGCAGGAGTACCCAACGCGGTGCAGACATTGATCACAGAACAGCTATGATTCGGCAGCTGTGTTTCAAAACGCTTTTGAATGGTGCGGCCCTTGAGGGTTGGCTGGGTCGCATACAAAAAGATCTTGAGGCATATAAGAACCTAAGCACAGAGGAGTGGACTACACACCCAGTGGCTGCAAAGCTCCGCATTTTGTGGAAGGAAACCTGCAGCGAGCCAGCAGCACCGGCTCCGGGGCAAAGCCTGGCATTGGCAGTGCGGCAAAACGTGGCGCCAACCAAGCTCTCCACATCAGACAGAGATCGCTTGCGGAAGGAAGTGGAGAAGCGCTTCCCCAGCCACGTTTTTGGCCCTGACACTTTGCCATCAATGCCCTTTCTTCAGCTGATCCATTCCCAGTGCCTTGGGCAACATTGGGAGTGGGTGCCATGGCGCCGCATCATGAGCGAAGCAGGCAGCCAGAGCCAGGAAAGTCGTGCGCAGCGAACTATGGGCAGCGAAGCAGATCTGCTATCCATTGTTGCAGACTCCATGGGTGTGCTTAAGGAAGAACGACCCCTACAGGAAGCAGTGAACTCTGCGTACCGCGTACAGTGTCTGCTTGACACGCGTGGCAATGCCTATGCAATGTGCAGAGCTGCCCACCTGGGAACATGGGCAATGTACACCAAAAAGTTTTTGCTTTAATTTACTACACCAAGAAGCATGCAGCCTGGCAGCGTGGCTCCACTGGAACAGAAGCAGAAGAGGCGGACCGTGCTTTTTTCGCAGAAATCATGGATTTGTGTTTCAGCGGTGTGTCGATGGATGACGCAGTGCACCAAGTTGCAGTAGAGCGTGACATGCTGCGCCACCTGCTAGTGCCGCAGAACAAGCCAAGCAAACCTGAGCCTTCCTTGCCCAAAGGTAAAGGGAAAGGCAAGAAGCGGTCTGATACAGAAGATCGCGCAGTCCCACCAAGCAAACGCCCCCGCACTGGCGAGTGCTGGAAGTGGCTGGCAGGCAAGTGCAAGGACCCCCACTGCCGCTTTCGCCATGCTTGTGCCAAGTGTGGCAGTGGACAGCACAGCTCAGCTGATTGTGACAAAGGAGACAAAGTGCAGTGACAGGGCCCAAGCGCGTCAGTGCGCAACCTTGACGGTGAGAAGGGGTCGAGTAGCTCACTGCTGAAGCACTTGGTCCGCCTCCCGTCAGCGGTCCGAGCTTCTCGTACAGGTGAGTTGGGGTTGGGCACCTGTGACCCAGTCCGCCTCCCTGGTGACCGCGCGCAGCGGACAGGCGAGCGCCCTGCCCTGCGCCTGCGCGATGGCGGTGGCTTGTTGTCAGATGCCGACTGGGCTTCCCCACGCGAGGCTGACCTCTTTCATGCTCTTCGGCAGCAATGATGGCAGAGGATTTTTGGTTGGAATCTGGTAAGCAGGCTTGAAGCTCACGTGGCAGCGCGCTGTCGCACACCCCTGTTGAATGATGAAGAGATCTCTTGTCTACGCGACGACTTAGCATCTTTTCTGAAAAAGCAAGGGTTTGCATGCAGCAGCAGCATCGCGAGCGGGCAGCCCATTGCGCTAGATCTTTTGTCAGGTTGCTTGCAGTTGTGGTCAGACGTGGATGTAGGCTTGCCGGCACAGCTAGCTGAAGGTGTGTCCTGCGGTGTCAGAAGCACCATTCCAGCGTCAGGGGTATGGCGCGAGCTTGAGATCCCAGAGCGGCCGCCCCTTGGGCTGCTCACGTGCGGTGAGTCCTGGCCTTCCGGGCTAAAGCAGCCTGGCCTTTTGCAGGACTTGGTGCAGGCAGATGTAGATGCTGGCTTTGCTGAGTGGTTTGATGGCAGCATTGCTGATGTGAAGCGCAAGTTTGGCGATGACTGCGCGGCGGGAAAGCTTGGCATTGTTGAAAAGCCGGGGGCGCCACCACGGCTCATCGGCGACAGTACAATCTCAAATGTGAACTGCTTGTGCCGCATTGCAGAGAAGATCGAGTTGCCTGGTCTCGACAGCGTGTCAGCCTTTGTATCCAAATATCATGCGCAGGATTGGGTTGCATTCAGCCTTGACTTCAACAAAGCCCACAAAAGAGTGAAACTGCACCCCAGCGAATATGGCCTCAACTTGTTCGCCGTCCAAACGCCGGATGGCCGGGGCAGATGGGTCTGCTACAAAGTTTGCCACTTCGGTGGGGCATGGAGCAGCTATTGGTGGTCCAGGCTTGCTGGCACCTTTGTGCGTTTGGGACACAGGCTTCTCCACTTCGCACATTACCTAACAATCTATGTCATCTATGTTGACGATCTGCTTGCCCTGCTGCCGGCCAAGTGTCCGCATGCCTACTCACTTGTCTTGCTTGCAGTCTAGGTTTCCCAGTCTCGTGGCATAAGGTAGACCTTGGCAGCGCTCTCCACTGGATAGGGTGGCACCTTGATTTCAGCGGTGCACCCAGCGACAAACTTGATGCCATGCTTGGTGCCTTGAACGAGTTGTGCTCGCGACCACGTGCTGTATCCAAAGCAGTTTTACAGAAGCTCATTGGCCGCCCAGTTTGGTTCACCTCCGGGGCCAGGTGGCTGCGGCCGTGGCTGCAGGTTTGGTTTTTCGCATTGAACAAGCTCGGACTTCACTTCTTCCATGCCGATGCAGCCCAATTGGAAGAGCTTTTTCAAGCATTGGATCAAAACTGCAAAGTCGTGCGGAGTTGCCGCTTTTCAGGTGTGCAGTGTGGGTGGCGCCTCTTGGACATGGCGGGCCATGCAGTGAATAGCACGGCCGACTTGTTGTCAGCCCCTTTGAAGAACGGCCGGGTGTGGCTTAAGTTTGGCGAGCCCGCCCCTGCCAAAATCAAGCTGAACCAAGACGAGCTGACTGTCGCCCGGTTTTTCCGCGAGGTGCTTTCAGCCCAGGAGCCACTACAGCTTGTGGAGCGCCCTGGACCCGGCATGGTTGCAGCCGCAGATGCCTTCGCTGAAGGCAAGTGTTGGGGCATCGGAGGTTGGTTTCTCCCTGCCCATGTAGCTCTGCACCCCTCAAACACTATTACTTCAGCTTCCAACTAAAACAGGATGCATTGCCACCATGGTTCTGTCAGAATGGCGCAGAGCCTCAGCGACACATCGCGGCCCTGGAAGCCCTGGCGCAATTGGTCTTGCTGGACGCCCAGCGCCGGCATCTATAGGAGATGTATGGCAAGGTGGTTGGATCTCTCTGCGCCAGAGCTGCGACAATGCCGGTGTGGTCGCTGCCTCGCACAAAGGCATTTCCCTGAAGCAGCCCCTGGCAAGTGTTCTGCAATCTCTGGCCCTGTATGCTGCTCGCCACAAGCTGCAACTTCGCATTTCACACGTGGCCGGCAGTCGCAACGAGTGGGCGGATGTCTTGTCGCGCAGACGAGCGTTGGATGCTGACTTTTTCAAGTCGCTTGATCCGGGCAAGCAGCTGCATATTGATTGGCCAACGCTTTTGAGTTTGTGCCGCACGCTGGTCGCCAAGTCGACCTGACCAGGAAGCGACACTCGCATAGCATTGCACCGCATGTGCCATGATGAGTTTGCACGGGCACCGTGCCTTGTGTCGTTTTCTTTTTCAGCTTGTTTGCTGATCAAGCCGGGCCGATGCCCGCTGCTTGCTGCAAGTGGCAGCCGATTTGCCAGGGCCGATGCTCTGGGCGGAAATCTTGGGCCGATGCCCTATACGCATGCTGACAGGCTGGCAGGGCCGATGCCTTGGCTCTTTCGATGTGGCCCGTGAGGGGCTGATACTTCGCTGGTGCACTGCAGGTTGCAGCTGATTGTAAGGGGCCGATGCTCCGCAAACGTGCTGTCTGTTTTAGGAGCCGATGCTCCGCCAGTGCTGCAGGCTGTAGCCTGCACAAGTTGGCGCACGTTTTCTCTTGCTTTGTTTTCCTCCTGCAGTTGCGCACGCAACACCAACTGACTGGCTCTGGGCCGTCTTCTGCCTGCGCGGGCGTTTGGGAGCAGCAGGCTAGGCGGTCAGGCGACGGCTTTGCTTTGGGATGACCAACAGGATGGGGTCAGGCCAGCTGCCTGGCCCCCTGCAAGACTTGTTGCCAAAAAGGTGTGCCTAGCCTGCCTTAGCAACTAGAGACATGCAGGGTGTGATGGACCCGTTGCGACTGTTAGGGCGCATAAGGCAATCACACCCAAGTGCTCTAGTAGGTCCTGTTTTGCTTTTGCAGGTGCCTGTGACTGGTGTCAGGTGGCAATTACATTCTTTCAGGTGCTGGAGCCTTGTGTTCAGTTGCTTTGATCGTGCTTGGGTAACTACATGTTATTAAACTTGACTTGAAACACCCGCCCGCCCTCGCCCAGTGAGGGTAGGGTGGAGGCTTTGATACTGAGTTGTTCCAACTTTGGACCCCAAGTGGGATGACCAACAGGATGGGGCCAGGCCAGCTGCAGCAGATGCTGCACAGGGCCTGGCCCCCTGCAAGACTTGTCACCAAAAAGGTGTGCCTAGCCTGCCTTAGCAACTAGAGACATGCAGGGTGTGATAATGATCTAACATGAGTAGTGACACGCCAGCAGCCAAGAACCCTTCTACAAACATGAAGCGAATTTCATTTCTCCAGTCTGAGTTACCCTCAGTCTCCAAAATTATATTCAGGGAAATATGTTCGTAAATATTTGCTTTACTTGCAAAAACGGATGTAAATTTACATAGTTTTTTTGGTACATGTACTATTTACGCCCCTTTACGAACACAAGTACATTGATTTACTGATGTACCTAACTGTTTGCTTCGCTCTCTCTGTCTCTTTCTCTCCATCATCGGCCTTTGTTCATGAACAAGCCACCACAGGTCTCATCAACACACCAGGAGCCAGCTGTCATGTCTCAAAAACCAGCTGAAATGTTTAACATAGATCAAACTGTCATGTCTTGTCCCAAACTGTCATGTCTTTATCACGCAAAGATGAGGAATGCTTAACTTGTTTCGGCCGATCATTTCAAGTTGATGTTTCTGAAGTCAGCTGAAGTCCAAGTGAAGTCAACAAACATTTCTAAGCAAGTTGTCCCAGATTTTCCACGGCAAGCGGCCAGGTATGCATGAATTCCTGGCTTCAGCTCCTCCACTTCACAGGCGTCCAGCAGAGCCAGCGCCAGACCGCTCAGCAGCAAACGGCAAGCTTGG